ACATATCCCTCACCAGCGACCGTCATTTACCATACGGTATTAACAAAAATTACATATCCCTCACCAGCGACCGTCATTTACCATACGGTAATAACAAAAATCACATATCCTCACCAGCGACCGTCATTTACCATACGGTATTAACAAAAATAACATATCCCTCACCAGCGACCGTCATTTCCCATACGGTATTAACAAAAATCACATATCCCTCACCAGCGACCGTCATTTACTATACGGTATTAACAAAAATCACATATCCCTCACCAACGACCGTCATTTACCATACGGTATTAACAAAGATCACATATCCCTCACCAGCGACCGTCATTTTCCATACGGTATTAACAAAAATTACATATCCCTCACCAGCAACTGTCATTTACCATGCGGTTTTAACAAAAATCACATATCCCTCACCAACGACCGTCATTTACCATACGGTATTAACAAAAATTACATATCACTCACCAGCGACCGTCATTTACCATACGGTATTAACAAAAATCACATATCCCTCACCAGCGACCGTCATTTACTTTTACCAACATAACTGGATCGACTACGTAAAAAACTTCCGATATTATTTCCCGAACTTTTAATTTTTAGAAATTAATTCTCAGGTTTTATTCAAATTACTTCGAAACATGTTCTACCTGAACATTTTCGCTGGACAAATCTTCTTAAATTATAGATGAAAGATCGCCACTGGGATAGAGTTTCAGATATTACTATCATTTGTGACCCAACACGACTATGCGCCTGTCTATATATTTTATTGGTGGCTTATATTGTCATCAATTAATTTAGGTCACGTTATAGTAACACATCTAGGTCACGTTATAGTAACACATCTAGGTCACGTTATAGTAGCACATCTAGGTCACATTATAGTAACACATCTAGGTCACGTTATAGTAACACATCTAGGTCACGTTATAGTAACACATCTAGGTCACATGATAGTAACACATCTAGGTCACGTTATAGTAACACATCTAGGTCACGTTATAGTAACACGTCTATTACAGATACTCATTGTGACCGGGCGTTCTAACTTATGTCATTGACGCGAGATGATCTAAAATTAATGTCAGCTATCACAATGATTATCACGAACGGCGACATTTCAAGCTGGTTGATATCGACCTACATTTGCCAAAATGCCAAAGTATGCCATTCATTTTGTTTTGAAAAGAGACAGGTTTTACATAGAATAAAGTGAAGGGTTTAGTTCTACAAAAAGGTTTGAAGGTATTTCTATATTTTTTCCCGGCAAGTTTATCTTAACCTTAAATAACAGGATGCAGAAATATTCCCTTATTATTTTATCATTTTTATTGATTGATTGATTAAACAGTTTATCCCAGTATTTCTGTAGTATCTACCATTCCGAGGTACACGTCTTCACAGGTTCTCTCATGGTTCCAGTATTTGCCAATCCAACAGCTTGTCCATTGACCATCACGTTTCCAATACAACCAGACACGTTATTATTTCCCTGAAAAAGTGAATTTGATTTCTAAAGTAAAATAAACATATATGTGTATATACATTTTTTATACAAAATGTACGTGTGTCGAAATGCAACAATGCAAGATGTAGTATTTGAAGAATTGTTGTGGAAGGAAAATAATTTACATTCAAAAATGGAGAGAAAAAATGATTGCTAATTTGAACTTTAGATCTCGGAATGTTGTTTATGCAATGATCTGTACAAATTGTTCTTAATTTTACATTCGCGTCAACACGTGACAGTTCACAGATAATCGACAAAAAGACCATCTTTGATTTTTAACTGTTAATAAACATATACATTCTTGTGTAAATGATACATTCCATGTAATTCCCTATATATCGAGCTACAGAATGCACCGTTCAAAGAGAGTCCAAAGAATCAACGTTAGTCGATATATCAAAACCTAGTTTAAATTGTTCTAACAGTACATATCGTCGCATGAATAAATGAAGAAAATGTTTGCAGAAAGGTCTGTAGCTATATTCATGCAAGCAACAGACTTTATATTGTTTGGAACACCACCTTTGTCTTTCTACAGATGTTAACGCTAAAGTGCCCTGTCAATTCTGGCGTTATTTTTGTTACATGTGGGATATGTATTGTGACGTCATTCGGTATCATAAAGTCATCATTTTCTATGTTGTGTTATGTCCTGTCAACGTGATAAAAACACTCCCTGATGAACCTCTAAACAAGTGATAGTACTAGGGAGGTACTAAGAACCTCTTTTCGTCATTTCTTTTATATTTAACCATCAAAAGGACTTTTTTGTTTATATATATATATATTTCTTTCTATATTGTTATTTATGTTATATCGCTTTTGCCCGGTTGTATTAAACGAGAAAATTCTATTATGGGTTGTGTTTTAAATTTATTCAATTATTATGCATGTTTTCTTCATGCACTGCATTCATTCTCAAAGCTATTTCACTCATCAAAAAATCGATAACTGTCGATTACCAGGCGGCGCTGTACGTACGTAGATACTTATCACAAGACGTCATACTATAAAAATGTATTTGCGGAAATATTCGTTTCAATGTGAACAGGCTGTTAACCTGGACATGGTGTGTCGCAAAGGTCACTGATGATGTCAGAAGGCGATTCGATAACGGATGATGGACTATGTAACCTGTATAATTAACCACGGATAATAATTTGTGAACCGCTTTGAGACGACCTACGGACTAGGTTGTGATTAAGCAGTATATTATAACCTCGAATTGTCATTATTAATATGATTATAAATACATAATATAGATACATACTTTATATAGCTAATGAACCTTTGCCATAGAAAAAAGTACCTAGTGACCTAATATATAAATCATAGTACCTTATAAACCTTACACCCTATAGATAGTTATTTACACGGGTACCTACATTTTCGGTTTGTTTTTACTCGAAATGAGAAATTAAATTTATACGAGTAAACTGTAGCCATATAAGATTATGTATTTTTAGCATAAATAGCCCCTGGTATCGATTTTATTTTTAAAATCATATACCGATATCCCGATTTTCAGTAAAACATTAAACAGTATACACAATAAGACTTTTCTCAGTTTATTTATATATATGCATTTACCACCATTCCGTGCTCAGTGTTTTGGTTCACCTGTCATCAAACTCTTTCAAACACCTATTATTACATTACTAGATTGTTTTTAGATAACGTATTAAAATAAAATGAATATCGCAGGTAATATTTATAGCTGCCATATTATTACACGGATAATTATTTTCGCGATCAAGTAAATGCCCTGCGATTAGGCGAAAAAATACCACCACGATATAACCAGTTATATTGTATATACAAGGCAGATAAGATAGATTACACATATTTATTTTTTAAATTGAGCATATTTTTTCTAATCCTATCATATGCTTTTGTGAGTATTCACTTTCTTCTTCTTTTTTTAAAACTTATTTTCGGAAAATGCAATTCCCTCATAGATGATGTATACATACAAAATAGAAGAAAGGGAATACACATGTCTGCCACATAAGAATGTTTTAATACAGAACATTGGTAATCTCCCATCAATCAAAAGTCTTCAGAAAAAATGAATAATAAAAAGACAGAAAGACAAAAAGGATGGACGGATAAACTGCGATAAACCAATGGGCAATAGCGTTTAGTTTGAAACCATTTATTCGAAAATTAAGTGCCGACTACTTGTACCCGACTTTATTGTCTAGCACATATTTGCTAAAATGTGGCTCTTACCTGGTTAGGGGAACTAGTTCCGCTAACATGTACTGTTGTTGGAGAGCTCTGTAAAGCCAGCATGTTAGGGAAAGCTATTGCCTCTCGGGTAGGTTCACTGTCATTGCCAAGTCGTGTTGTCCGCATTTCTATGGTTTGACCGGTTCTGTGAAAAACAATAACTGCATTTCAATGATAGATTAAGAGGTCATCATTTTTCCACCGAAAACGATCAAAATGTTGAAAGAAAATATAATATAAAGAATCCACAACGGCAAACACAAGGAGAGGTCGGATCTTCCCACCTAGTGATATGTCTATATCTACCTACCTAGTGATATGTTTAGATCTACCGACCTAGTGATATGTATAGATCTACCTACCTAGTGATATGTTTAGATCTACCCACCTAGTGATATGTCTATATCTACCCACCTAGTGATCTGTATATATCTACCCACCTGGTTATATGTTTAGATCTACCTACCTAGTGATCTGTATATATCTACCCACCTAGTGATCTATATATATCTACTTACCTTGTGATATGTTTAGATCTACCCACCTAGTGATATGCAGGTTGTACCACTGCGAATTCTCCATGGTGACGGAGGATTTTATGGTACCGTAAAGTTCCCCATCAGCACCCGTCACAGACACCGTAGGTACACTGTCCACCAGTCCTATACCATAGGCTACCTTTGTGGTGTAGAAACGTAACATTAGTTAAATATTCCTAGTCGTTTTAAACCTCATTTTATTTATAGCTGACCTGACCACTGGACAAAATTTGAAATCGTCTTTTTTGGAAACGAACATAATTATTAAAAGGTCTAACATATTTTCCTTTAAATATAAGAAACCACTTTCTTCATTTCAATTTTGTAAATGGGTACAAACATGTTCCATGGAGATTTTATAATTGTCCTCAATATCAATGCGTCATTAACTTATTCACCCGTGAAATTTCGTAATGAACTATACCAACCTTTGAATTGGAAGAGTTTAAATGTGTCTTCAAGGATTAATGAGTTAATGTTTAAATTAGGGTCGTCACACCGAATGAAATTAAGTAAACCGTTTACTCGAAACATCTACCGACCGAGTTACCGGTTAACCGTTGACAACCCTAGTTTAAAGGTATGTGGTATGGTCTCTATTGTCATTTGAATTCAACATACATTTAAACCTGTACAACTGTCAGCAGCCAGGTATAGACACACAAAATCAAAAGCATTCAGTATTATCGAGTAACAAGGTCCACGGCACAACTACACCGATCGAACTTGGCGTTTATAAAACAAAGCAGATTTGGTTGAAAACCATACTGATTTCAGTACTAGAAACAAACTTAAGCAATATTCCAAAAGTCATTTATTTTATGCTGAAGAGTAGATTTACCTCTGAATCAGTTAAAATTGCAAATAAGAAGAGTTCGTGATAGGATAATTTTGACTAGGATTACCTCCCCTTATGTATTGAAGACGAAGCAACTAAACTGGGGATGTTTGGCTGAATTTTCCTTGTCATGTTCTTAATCTTTGAATGTTCATTTTTATTTTATAAACTTTGTGGTCCTTATTTTGAATTTTTCATGTTTATGCTTAACTTACTTGTCAAACACAATAACTATAACATTCCTTCATCGGTTTGTGTACGAGTAAGATGATGTGATCTTATATAATACTTTTCAAAAAATAAAACCATGTACAATGTTCTCAACACACTGTAACAGTTATCAGACGTCAAACCAAAATAGATCATTTCTAAATGTCAAACGATGATAGATTAGTTAGTAGGTTGGTGTGTTAAACTACTTACTGTTCCGTTACCATGGAAATTCGCTACCGTCATTGCCGACCTTTCAGGCTTAACGCACACCTCAAGTGACGTCACCGGAGATTCCGTTTCACCTGTCGATGGCACCTCGAGTTGATATTCCCATCCGTCTACCATTGCTACGGAAACCTGTGAGGGATATCATCGTCACTATGTAACCGTGATGACAGGCCTATAGATATTTTTGTTTGAACGCTAATGAGGATGTCCGCTGGGGATGTAACCTTGCTAAAGGTTCAACAAGCCCCCGCAATAAAATTCCATGATGACTTTAATCATCTAACTCATGGTTAAAACCCCATTAAACATTAAACATTGAAATTTCCATGATTTAGATATATATTTAATGATATGTACCGAAGTGCCCTAGTTTATTAGAAGGCAATACTTGTGGTTAATATCTTCATTACAAAGCCTCCTCAACATTACCCTCTTACCGGGGTTTTTTTGTTTGGTTTTTTTATTATAATATAACATAAGCAAGCAGTACACAAATTACCAATGTTAAGTTCATTTATTATTCATCCCCAACACATATTCCCTCGTAAAAGCTTTTTGCGGTTACTGGCCGGACACAAAGTTGGTTTGTACCATGCAAAACCACAAAAAACATGGTTAAATTTCCTGGTGATATTTAAAATGTACAAAAAAAGTAAACCAATGGCCATGTTACCTTGATCAATACATGAAATATATATGAAGTGTCCTTTCGTGATAGTAAGCGTTGTTACAAATGCTTATAAACATTATAGTATTTTAGTAGCCCTAACTATATCACTGACACTAGACTTATATTCTCATCTATCCTTAGTGAGTTGCACGCAGAATATTGTGCGCTATTTTGTGACAGAGTTTTGTGATCTACGTGATATATTTGTGAACTATATTACAGAGTATTGTGACCTACATTTGTACGTGACAAAGAATTGTGAGCTTTTGACAAAGCAGGCAGAGGTGTATTACGTACAGGTAGTGCCGAGGTGATGGCGCGAGCCCTATCGATTTTTTTGCGGAGTTCTGCTATGTTGTTGCGGAGGTTTGTTGCCTCCTTCTGCACTGACACACAGGGCTGGACATCCGTACTGCCAGTAATCTCCTTCATCTGTTGCATGTTGGATCGGACAGTGTCCACTGAAAGGTGAAATATGATATAATTTGAGAGATACATTTCTAATTCTTAATACCCGACATGTGTTGTAATGAATCGTCCTCAAATTTTAATTTCGCTTGAAAGCTTGTCGCAAAAATGAAAATTTTAACATAGATATCCAATTTTATGATAGTTTCTGTTTATGCACTCTTGCAAGCTAGAAGGATGTAAACTCATACCTATATATATGTAATGAAATCAAACCTTTAGCTAAAAGATCTGTCATCATTTCAACGTGTTGGCGTGACGTTCCCTGTCCGTTTTGACTAGATTCCGCCTTCTTTAGTTCAGTCATAGCTATCGCCTCTGCCTTTTCGATCCTATTTCTGATGGTTACACCATGCTGGTTGATTTTAGCGCTTATTTTGGCTATCCTTGTTTGTGTGGTCTCAATTTGTGTCTTGGTGTCCATCCAAAATGTTTCAACTTCAGTGGCATTGTTAACGAAATCGCTGATAACGGCTACGTTTCCTTTCACAGTGTCCCATCTCTCTTCAATTACTTGATTAAGAACAAAATTGATCCTTATTAGGCTATATTTCAATTTTTCAGATGATTACATGTTAAAACAGAATAATTCCATTTATTAACACAAGCAACCTCACTGACACAAATATTTAAATGGTACCCTAACTTGGGTTATTTATTATGATTTGATTGTATGGAAAAGTAAGATAAACATTTACGTACGCAAGCTCACAAAATTGGATATAACACCTGGAAACTTGATGAGATCTTACATGTCTGATATCTGGTTTAGCTAAAACTAGCCATTTCTGTGTACCAAATGTAGGATGAGTATATTATGTTGTACGTATTCGCCATCATGACTGTACATAATTGTACATTGTATAACTAGTAAATGACACATATAAATATTCTACGCACCAGTCAAGAACAGTGACGTCAAACAATTTTTTTTTACGTCACACCTATGAATTTCTAAACGTGGTAAATGGTTCCAAATCAACAAAGACAAAAACTTAAGAAGAAACTAATGTGAGTAACGTATCAAAATTGGTATATAAGTATCATTTTTCCTCCTTTGTTGATTATGACATTTTGAGGAAAACAGTAATTTGCTATACTCACGATCATGTCTGCGACTGATTGGGATAGACTTCGCCATCAAGTCATCAGACTTATCTCGCTCCAGTTCTGCTCTCTTCTGCAACGTGTCTCCTTCAAAATAATTTTGATTTACACATCCTTTAAAGTAGACATTTAGTGTTTTGTTAGCATATATAACAACATGTATAGTAGGAAAGCGATAGAAGTTTAAGGAGCATTTAAAGCGTCGAGCGTCAAAGCGTGGTGACAGAGTAAAATGTAATAGGAGGTTCATTTCGGAGCTGATAATTTCTTTTCGTTTTCTTTTTTTCTTTCGTATTTATATATTTATACATGTATGTTATGAATACATTTGTAACCTAACTATTGCATTAACAATACTGGAACAAAAGAAGGCAGACCGGGGGACTGCTTAGTTTGTAGTTGTGAACACACGAGTGAAATTACTGCGTCAACCGTAGTTGTTTCAACCCACATTTTACTGTATGGTTCAGGTATCATTCAAATGAGCAAATGGAATAATTACTTGAGATTCTTATTCGTATCCCTTGTGACTGAAAAAGGAGGCATAGTTCGCGCACGTGTTATTTTAACAAGATTAGGGACTAATTGTTTCTAGCTTTGTAATGATGCTTTCTGGTGTTATTATAGCTCCATGGGAATCAAACGTACAAGCAGAAGTGACTTTAGCTTCATTCTAAAAGGCTGAAAAATAGCAAAACCGAAAACCAAAAACATGGTTTAAAACTTAGATGCATTTTGTTTAAAAGAAAAATTAATTAAATGAAATATAAAATAGGATGTCCGTTCTCTGTGTGCCGTAATGGGGTCAAAGTGACCTCAGACAATACATTATTCGAGGGCAAGGACAGAACATCAAAAAGATTTATTGCTTTAGTTTATAGGCTTAATGTTTAGGTAAATCTAAGTGTAGCTATAAGTTGATATAACAACAACAGATTACTTACGGAATGAGTTGTGGTAAGCGCCAGCATTAGGGTCATCCCCTCCAAGCCACCACCAACCGGATTCCTCTTTTTCCTTATCTTCAATTACGAAGTCAGAGCCTTCGTTACCGCTCCCCATTTCTACTGTTGTGCCGATCTCCGTCGTAGTGACCGATTTCTCAGTGGTCAGTTGGGGAACTGTAGTGGGTATACTCGCCAGAGTCGTAGGGGAGCTTGTTGTTGTAGTCGTGGGGGAGGGAGTAGTAATTGGAGATGGTGTCGACTTGGTCGGGAGAACGGTTGTGATTAGCTTGTCAGAAGTTGAATAAAACATTCCATTTCCACTGAAAACTATATCGTCGTCGTCAGATGTTGTTTCAAAAAAGTCATCTGTTGATTCGGCCATTGACATCTCTGTTGTTGTTGGGGTTGAAGATCGACGAGAAGTTGTTGCTGAGGTTGTTACTGGTAAAACTGTTGTTGTCGTGGTTGTTGTTGATGGGCGCGTAGTCGATGGAACTGGCGTCGTTGTTTTAGTACGGGGCGTCGATGTAACTTTTGTTGTTGGGCGGGGCGTCGTTGGAACTTGCGTTGTTGGGCGGGGCGTCGTTGGAACTTTCGTTGTTGGGCGGGTCGTCGTTGGAACTTGCGTTGTTGGGCGGGGCGGCGTCGGAACTGGCGTTGTCGTTGTTGTTGTTGGGCGGGTCGTTGTCGGAACTGGCCTTGATGTTGTTAGGCGGGAAGTCGACGGAACTGGCGTTGTTGGGCGGGGCGTCGTCGGAACTTGTGTCGTTATTTTAGGGCGGGGCGTCGACGGCGCTGAAGTTGATGGATGCGCAGTCGTCGGAACAGGTGTTGTTGTAGGGCGGGGCGTCGACGGCACAGTTGTTGATGTTTTTATTTTCATTAGCGGCGTCGTAGATTTGCCGAGAGGCGGAGACGAGGGGGAAAGTCGTGGTTTTGGTGTTGTCACACGCGTGGGCATAAGATCCTCTCCACCACTTCCTAATATGGTGATGTACTGTTCACAGTCAATGACCATATCCTCGTCGTCTCCCCCACCTGATCCAGTGACTAGGTCCTCACATCGCTCACGAAGTATGTTCTCATCTGCCAGTAACAGGCGTAGTTCGTCCATCCGTCTGTCGAGTTTCTGACAATAAATCACTGATAGTTAGTATGTTTATCATTCATTTTTGATAGACGATTTTCAAATATTGTTTCACTATCGACTGGATAGCATTGGTTTTCGTTTTGTTTTGTTTGTTTTGGGTTTTTTGGCATCAGTCCATTAATAATCTACCCAAATGATTAATAATACTCAGGTTTTTTTGTAATGAGATTATTTAACAACAAAACTATCGTCTTTGTAAGAAGACCAACTGTAATAACGGCATAGCAATATATGTTCTGGTTACCGAAAAGCAATCAAGATAAATTAAAACTGTTACAATTATCCTATAGAGAATGCCACTGGTATAATAATTATTATAAAACCTTCCACTTCCACGTCATTATTTACTAGTGTAGTCATCCAGAAATTCAGTGTCTTTCTTTGAGTTCCCTAAACAAACGGAATATGAACCTTCAAGACTGACGTCACAATTAAAACAATAGATGGGACGTCATAGACTCCAAGATACAGTCGTTGGACAAATGGCGTTGTTGAAAGAAATAGCTACTGTTATTTTATCAAATAATGTCTCGGTCTTGAATTCGTTTTATAGAAAATTCGTGGAGAACGGAGATCAGTAAAAGGCCTACTGAAAAAGGCATACTCACGGCAAAATAAAACAAAACAAAACAAAAACGAGAAAAAACAAACCGTGACAATATCAGCCAGTCTCCCCACAATAGCCAACAATTGCAAACGCACGTTGCTCCCACTATTTCGTCGGACATCAATAGACTTCTTTGCCTTTTGCAGTACAGGAATAATCGTCCTGGAAATTACATCATCAAATTGACAATACAATGTACAACCAAACACCTACTGGGAGTGTGTAGCGTAATATATATTCGGATACTAAAGACTACTAGGGCCCGGTTCATGTCCTAGTTAGCGTTACCTCAAATTAATGAAAGTTTCTTAAAGAAATATTTCAGGAGACGCGATTTGTTTTCTTTTTTCTTGCATTTCTATTCATCAGATGAGTGTATGAAATCCTTAGTAACGAGTAAGCTTGTATTTAATTATCTGGGCTCGCACGAAAAAGCAATTTATTTGTGTAAAGTCAAACAGCGACTTCAACTTACATGTAACATCCAACAAAATAAAGATTTTAAAAAGGCATATTTAAATGAACGAAGAAGGTAAATTTACTTTTTATTTAATTAGATAAAAGCTTGAAAGCACAATAACAGTTGATAATTGACAGTTTCCAGTATTAAAAAAATGAAAGATTAAGTTTTGTTTATTTAAATTTTGCAGATCAAATAAAGAATCAGAATATGATTAAGTTACATGATTCTTCAAACAGAATAGAGATAAACACGAAAATGAAAACAGCTTATCATAAAGTGGTTTACTGTGTATTTTTGTAACAACATCCACAAGGATCTATATTATATTAAGAATGTCATAAATCCTGACATAGACGAACCTTGTTTATTCTGCAAACCTTTATAAAACAGACTTTTAACTAGGTATTGCTATATACCAATCGGGAATCGTCGGCACTTTCCGTAAACGAGAAAATATTTACGTTTACGGAGAGTGCCGACGGTACCTGATTGGCTATATGCATAATTATACAAAATATTTTGAAAATTTCTTTTCCGAATTAAAACTGTGTTTTGTGAGATGTTCGATGCAGACACTTTATATATTTCTTCTCACCTAGCCAACGACTCCACTGTCCGACCTAACTGTCGAGCATGTTGATAGCTTTTAGTGGTGAAGTCTTCAATTTCATTCATATTGGTAATGGGTGCCTCTGTTTGGAAAACGATCGTGTCGCCTGGTGGGCGTCTCTCGATAAAAGCGTTACGTAATTCTATGTTTCTCTGAAAGAAACGCCAAGAAAGATTTACGAACCACAAAAAAGTCTTAGAGAGAAAGATCACGACAATGAAATATACAATGAATATGAAAATAATAAGACATTAAGATCTACATTTTTACAAATAGACCAACTCACTTAACCGTGGGAAGGTAACTTGGATTTGTAAATCACAAAAGCAAGTATCATTGAGATTGATGTCACCATATGAAATGACTCGAATGTATTGTGACGTCACTCACATTGCAATTTACATTCTTATGATTGCAAACAAACAGGATGCAGTGTCATTTTACGATATTTTATTATGGCGTCATGTTGGCTTGGTTTAACATTTATTAATGCAGACTTGGGGTAAGTGATTTTATCAAAAAATTCATTATTTATAGCAAACAATGTAAACATAATTTCTCTGTTTGATAGCTAAACTAACATTGCTGCTATTCTTTTCTAGGGGACATTTTTCTCCTGTCATTTTGGTTACAGAAATATAAAAATCGAAAGGGAAGAGAGAAAAAAAGAAATACAGAAATTACAGAAATAGAAAAGGAAAGAGAAGAAAGGAATACACGAGAGAAAGACTTACAAATACAAACTAAGAAGATGTGCGATCTGATTAAGCTCAATGGAACAGCATCTGAGCAGCCATAAAACATACCTGCACGTCTCGTCGAACGGCTCTGATTTCCTTATTAGCTGTGTATGAGTAGTTCCGGGCGTCCAGATACATGTCGGTGATGCTGTTCAGGTACCGCTGTGGGTTAAAACGGGCACATGGCATTTATCCACATATGTATTCTAAGCTTGACAGTGAGGATAATCTGTAAATTTTAATTTCAAATTGCATATACAGTTAACTTATATTTTCTGTATCTTATATATTCGTATCGTAAACTAAAGTCTATCTGCTGTACCGTTAATATTTACAGTTGGTGTTACAAAGTTATGATCACTTCATTTGTAACGTCACAACGCGCTCAGCAAACGTCAGAACCTTTGATTACGCTCACTCTTGTTTAATTAATCTCATACCTAATATAATGATTAATGACTTCTATTTCGATGCATATGTGGTTATATGAACCTGGAAACATATATTAATTTCGGTTAATATAATCCCTTTCATGTCTAAATTATCACATATTTACCTCAACAAAAGTCTATAATTGATAATTATATAAATCTGTGTTATCTGTCTGGAGCCTGTTTAACTGATATTATACCAGGTATGTGTGTATCCGCTGTTTGACGTCACCCCGGATTTGTCCGTACAGTCTCGTCTCGATTTTCCGTCGATAACGATCGATGTCCAAAAAGAAAGATCTGGCATCTCTGCTATTAAGACTGTTGAGTACTGCAGCATGCATCCGTTCCTGTTCCATACAGCGACTGAAACCGACAAAATTAGTCACAAACAGTGAATTGTAACCTTATTACTTACTATTTACAATGTACAAGTACAACTAAAAATGTATAAATCAGGAAATTCCAAGAAAAATATCTTCAAAATGATGTCTATATATTTTCATTTCAGTAATAATTACAATGACTTCGATATGCTCCATAAAGTAACGGTAAGTATTTTATCATGAAATTGTGTTGTACAATAAGTAATTGTAATCAATTAGTGAAATTAATCTCGAATTTATTATTGTCCGCTTTATACGGTGAATGTTTTGCGTACATGATCGCTTGTAAAACACTTTGCCTGGGAGTAACAAAAACAAATCTTGAAATACTAAAAATCATTAAACAATCAGAACGGTATAATGTATTGATATTAGCATTATGTCATACTAGTTACCCTTTTATACGCTGTATGATCGTTTTCATGACGTGTGCTCGTCTTTGTGACTGGTCAGCAAGCATGACGTTGTGGCTGAAGTCTTTGAAATGCATATCTGGAGGTATGCTAATGGACACGGGGGCTACCCGTCTCTCGTACGCCCTCAGGTGTACAAAGCGCACGAGCTGGGTGACGTCTAATAATGCATCTATGTTGAAGGAGTAGAAAACGAATTTTAGTGTGGGAGAGGAACATTGTGACGCATCTTGAAGCTGTTTACCCTATAGATATCACTGGCATCCGAAATAAGCAGGTGTTTTTTTAAAGTCAACACCAAAAAGAAAGAAAAAAACATTAACGAGAAAGAAATATATTTATAAATTAATAGACTAAGAAATCCCAAAAGTATCTTTGAACCCACCATTGGTAAGCTTTTCATAAGTTCTATGTTTGTTTGATATTTCTCTGGGTAGTCTTGTCAACAGTAAATGTATAATGCAGTAACTTCTGATTATAACTTCAATCACTGGGTTCGACAGTGTTCTTTCAAAGTAGGCTTGTTATTTGACCAATTTACTCAATTTATAAATTGTAAAAAAATGAACAAGAGAGATTTTTGTTTTCTTACAGCCATATTTGTTCTGCTCAATTGGTTTGAAGCTCAAAACGAAATATTAAGATCTAGCGATCAGGAATAATTTGACCTTACAAGGGAAATCTGCATGATAATATTAGATGAAGATCTGTAACTAAGTACTTCTTAGGAACTACCAATAACAAACTTTAACTGCCAAATTCCAGATGGTTTGCTGACAGTCATGTTGTTTTCCGTTCATGCAGTCTCAGAATGGCACGTACAAATTTCAAGACCAATGAAAACCTACCTATGAAATTTGAGAAAGATCTGTCAAGTATTTCTTGAGACAATATCAATCTTGAACTGCTAAAATCCAATGGCTGCCATCTTTATCTCGATCAGCCTCAAATAATTCATTGTGCAAAATTACAGACCAATGCGAATACTATAAACTGTGAGATAGGTCCGTCAACTCCTCCAACAATTTTAGCCCCTAATAATCAAGTACCCAACTCATTATATTCTGATAGCAACGTCATTAACTCTTTCAACGAAAATAAGTATCGGAAGCTAAGGGAACTAACTCTAACTGATACCAGTATAACATGAAATGTTCGTTGTGTATAAACATTCGAGGTTTTCGTGGTTGCTATTGAACCACGACAACATATACAAACGAATTTGGATGATATACGTGTCCACTGTTTATTTTTATTGGATATCCACGAAAATGTGTACCGCGAAACGATTTAAATGGTTTCAAACCACGAAGGAGAGTACCCACGAACATTTCGTGTTAGTCTGCATATCACTATTGGAATCTTAGCCAACAGAATGATCATTTTAATTTCGAGAGACATGTCATTCGTAGATTACGATATGGTTAAATGTTCTAACAATACGAAAACTAGACTTCGAAAAGCTTATGTAGAATTTACTTTTAGAACTAAACATATATCGCCACATAATATATCTATTGTAATATTATCAATAGAAAAAAACCCGCATAAAATCATTTGAATTTTAAAAGTTTAAATATTTCAGGTTTGGCATATCTAAAGAGCGTTTAGTCAACGCTTTGTCGGTAAGCAGGGGTCTGAACTCGTGCTGAACGTTTAAACGTGGTTTAAATGTCGTTTTTTGTGAATATTACTCGCCCACATCATTCAAAGTTATGTTAATTCCGGTACAGGATCGGTTATTATCATCAACACAAGAATCAAAATATCGATATTCATTTCATAATACAATTTCAATAAGAATTATAATTTTAAATTTCTGTATGCAAGTAGATATGAAATATAGATCACTTGGAAGTATTTGATATCGATTATAATACGGATCAGGGATACATGAACGCCGTCAAACATAATACTACATAAAGAGATATAAAAACAGCATTAATTACATTAAATATTCACATGATTGACTTTAAGAGAATACTTGAATACGGTATTCGGATATCAATATATGATTGAACCTGTATTGACAAGAAATATCTTTGGAAACATGCACATGTAGTTTTCATGTAGCGTTTTCAGTGTGATCGTTCAACGGGAGGTAACTCGTAAGTAATATAATTTTCGATAGTTTTTTTACACAGGATTATATTTTTGTATGTAAATATGTGAAAAATATGAAATCGTTATCCCTACCCTGTTTTTTCATGTTAAGCCTGTTCATTATGTCTCCATCTTAAATATCTAGTGAAATGCCGTGTAAATAATTGAAACTGTTGATATATTGTTATGAAAGATGTCAGGCATATGATAAGGTTAGACGAGCTGTTACGATGTATGTACCGGTACTAACATTCGAAGACTGCGCCCGTCGCCGGGCCGAGATGTGCTCACCAAATGGTACGCGCTAACTTCAGTATAGGGACGCTACAATCTTATGTTCATATCTAAAACCAACGATTGTTTTGAAGATATTGTATCATCAACGCAACGCAACTATCAGTCGGAACTGTGATGAGAGAAATGAAAGAAATTCCAAAAACTCCATTTGTATCTTAAACGCCACTACTGAAAAATTTGCTACCTACCATAAGCACGATTGTTTTCGTCGTGGATAAATTTCAGCTGCTCTTTCACTTCCATTATATCATGTCGGGCATCGGAGTTTATACTGGTAAAACTTTCGCTGACCTGAAATGTGTTTAAATTAGTTTAAACATATTTTTTTATGAAAATTAAAGATCAAAACCTACAGATAAATCTACAATCGGTTGAATCATTCTGATTTTGTTTTTAAATGATAATTTAATATTTAATAGTCTTTTCTAGTTTGTATACGGAACCTATATTCAGAAAACCTTTTACATAAAAGTGGAATTAAAATTCTGTTACATACCTTTTTAACTTTCTTTTGCATAATTTGAAGGATATTGGACATTGTGTGTTTGAGGTTGTGCACAGCCACGTTAAGTTTTGGCCGCATTCTCTGTTCCTGTAGAGACAAAAAAAGACAGTATAAATGTAGGCCAGAACTAGTGTTTATCAACAAAGTAATATAATCGTCATCGCTTATCTTCATCGTCGTCATCGTCATCCTAGTCGTCTTCATCGGCACGGTGAACGTTATCACGTTCAGTTCACTAATGAACGAGATCTAACATGATTTCTTTCCGCAAATCATTATTTATATCTCAAATAATTGTCATCGAATAATAAAAATACTTAATTCAACAAAGATCTATCAACAATAATTTCCCCAAAAAATAACAACAGCTGCAATGCAATGCACGTCTGTGCACATATGCACATGTATAAGCCAGACAGAGAACCATCTTCATATGACCTTAGCTGTTTTGAGAAAATAATACCCCAAACAAACCTACACGTATCTAAGGCAGCCATATGAACAGTTGACTCTTTACAAATGCTGTTATATAAACATTAAAGATGCATTCATATTGGCATTGAGACCATGCAATTGGGGCATTTGTTTACATTCGCAAGTTTAGAAAATGGAATTTCAATTTTGCATTGTAACATAAAAAGGCTAAATGTCACAGCACTCCGATAAGAGTGCACATAACTTAAGGTAAAGAACAATGACCGAAGGAGAATCGCCGTGTTTATCATCTGGTGCTGTTCTAAATCGGGAAGACATGTTTTTTAAAAACAGGTATACGTTTGTTAATACATCTCGCACAGCGTAATAGTCTGTCGACGATATTCGTAACCGATGTCGTCTGCCGAAACCTGATCATCAAGCTATACACACCGATCAGTGGTATTTATGGTTATCGGGCTATAATACTGATCCTGGGTATGTCGCAAATCAGCAATATTCTGTGACAAATATGATTATTTCTCAAAAATGTGCCAGACGACTAGCTTTTTATTTAGAGACATGATAGTGATTCCAGTCGCTAATCATTTGAATCGCATACATCTGTGTTATTACTTAAATCAGAATATCTTTAGTGCAAGATGTGGTTACACGAAACTGTTCTTACCCATCTTGAGACCGCTGCGGGCGCTCTTTGTCCGTATCCATAGCGACGCCGGTATCCTTGACGATGACGATTGTATCTGTAAGGGGAATGACTTTGCATTGAATTGCTTATTGCGATATTTTCAACCGCTACTGGACTGATTTGGAGATCCATGGCGGCGTGTTGACGGGGCATCCCATCTTTCCTTTGAAGAGCCTTTTCGTCGACAACCAAGCCATGTCCTGTCTTTGGCAGATTCCTAGATTTGCTGACATCGACATTAAGTGATGTTCGACGAGGGAATTGTTGTGGGGACGATGCTTTGTGATGTGATGAATGTTTTCTCCCCGCTTTCAATTGATGTGGTCTACGATTCGTTCCTCTATTTCTTGGAATTTGTTCCGATCTGGATTTTCCCTCAACCTCGTCACGATGACCCGGATGAATTGCAGGCGGTCTGTGACGATCATCACGTCGATGGCTAAGTCTCATTTGTCTGTTTCTAGCATTTCGCCGTCGTGAATTCCTTGTAGATCCGCTACTATGGTGGTGTCTGCTTTTGGTAGTAATATCCACATTTTCACATGCTGTAAAACAAAGACATGCATGGAAATTATTTGAAAACGTAACTTCCACGAAAAAAACGAAATAGTATGGTGTGATGCAGGAGGTATGCTTCACAAACAAACTTCATTTTTTTTCTCTGTATTTACAAGTTCATAAAAGTGTCTACCGGCTATGAGGTCACTCTAAATGTGTGTTTTTCTAGTGTTACCACGCTGAAATGTCACAGTTCGGTCACACACTAGAAAATAACATCCTACGTGGAACGCACAGAGACACAACTGATACAATATATCAGACGGGGGTCAGCTTTAACTGGTTTGTCAATCACAACATAGGTTTATTTTAACTTGAAATACAAGAAAATATACTGAAAGGAAAAATAAACATTTGCGGTGATTTGATGTTATTTATTTGAATGTTATATACATTATACGTATGCAAAAAAATCTTTTATGAACAAATTACCAAAATTTCAATATATTTTAAATTATAATTCATAAGTAATTGCAATGCATTTGACAGTACCCCGAAATATCGCAAAGTGAAATCGACTGACTCGTCAGTATCTCGTTTGCCCCTCTCGCTCAGTTGTCACAGCCCTGATTCTGTTGTGCATGGGATTTTTCAGTGCATTTATCCTTCTCATGGGTATACTAGAGTAGCGGAGATATTCTGTCGCCCCTTTACCCTCCTCTCAAGTTCGTCCCACAGATAATCGCTTGGGGACAAATCTGATCTGTACAGCGGTCAGTCGAGTGGGTTCATACTATGGTTTGCGAGAAAAGTCTTGAAAAACTCTGGCTACATGGGGTCAGGCATCATCATGCTGGAAAATTAGGCGATGCAGTTGCACAAATGGAACTGCAACCGGCTGGAGGATTTAATCCCTATATCTGACGGCGGTTAAATTCCCGGCTAGTACAATAAACGGTGACTTTACCCAGTGAGATATCTCTCCCCAGACCATAACCGAGCCATCCCAAACCTATCCCTCTCATGAACGCAAGCGTCGGCGAAGCGTTCCCCCCACGACGTCGGTATACACGACGTCGACCGTCCGGACGAAAAAGAATGACCCGCGACTCTTCTGTGAAAAATACCCGTATCCGTTGCCTCATTGGAATTCGTCGGGGAGCGTGTGCCGCCAACTAAGCCATACAGCACGCGCGATGTGCACGAGTGAGAGGCAGATCAACGTTTTGACGACGAGCTCTCACACCAACCTCGCCCAATCGGTTCCTTACAGTTTTGGGGTGAATGTGGTGATTATGATTGCCTGCCATATTGTGTCAATTACGCAGATGGGCAAGACGAATAGCCCTGTCTTGACGTCGCGTCGTTACGCGCAGACGTCCCAATCGCGGTCGGTCGGCAACCCTTCCGGTGTCTCGCAAACGACGGACAAGACGTTCTGTGGCGGAAACATTCACACCGAACAGCAAAGGAACCTGTTTGTTGTTGCCTTTGACCTTGCATTAGCAATGCAATAGCCAGGCCCCTCTGAACTTCCGTCGTCCGTACCATGGTTGCAAGATATTCAAATTGACAGTAAATAGCGGAAAGCGATGTGTATACCTCAAGAGTATTAAATGGTATGACAAGATGTGTTGGCTAACTTGTCATCATTATTCTGCACGTATTTTGTTTTTCATTTTGTCACTTCACTATGTGGCACGGTACCTTACACGGTTGAGTAACTTTAGACAACAGTTTGAGTGACAGGGACCAAGATGCTATAATTTTAGGCCAATCAGTTAAATAACTGTTGCATATTTTGTTACCCTCCTTTTCTTTATTCTTTCAGTATATTTGAAATAGAACATTAAAAATGCTTCTTATTTGCCAAATAAAGATATTTTAATGAATGTAATAAATGAGATTTTACTGATAATGGCGCCACTTGTCATAATAGATCCAAGCCAATGATCCGACTCGGAAAGCAACACTTACTAACATTGTGCACCGTTAAGGTTCAACAAGCCTCCTAAATGCTGTAGTCACCTAAAATTCCAATCACCTGATAAGTCATATTGAACGACCTTAATTAAATATCGGAACTTATGTATGTAATTTGAATATATAACTTTTACATTGGTTATGAAAAAAATGCATAGCCAGGTTAACATAGTCAAAAATAAGGCATTAAGGCTGATGTCGTCATAAAAATTGCTCGCCGGACTTATAACATGTCAATCTCTTTTGCTAGCCCAACTGAGTGCTAAGAAATGCCACTAATTAAAGTTAATTTATATGTCTACGTCATGCGGAGCTTTATTTGACTTCTACTAGCTGTTGAGAGGAATTTCTTCCTCAAATAAAGATAGATGTTCCCATGCATAACTACTTAAGCCATAGTAAAATACCCGCGTAATTTATTTAGCAGGTTATAAATAAGAAAACAAAGATGATATGCCATTTAATAACATTCTGTGATGCTGTGGGGTGGCTAGACATGTTATAAACAGTGAACCTTAAAAGAGTGATAATGTTTATAATATGAAGTTTAAGTTGATTTTATGGTCATATGTCTGTGGTTTCACACATATTTAAATGTACCAGTATAATATGCTACTCGGACGTTTCACCATAAATTTTGGACATTCCCAAAGCAACTCTCATCTACTTTTGAGGCCGGTATACATCTCCACACATAGTCAAAGAGAAATTAAGCTCCGCATGACCTAGGCATATAAATGAACCCTAATTAAAACATGTATGTCATTTCGAAGCATTCAGTGAGGTAGCTAAAGAGATTGACATGTTATAAGTCCAGTGAGCTATTTTATAAAGACATCAGCCTTAATGCTTTATTATTGACTACGTTTTCCTGGTTATGTACCTTTCAAGAACCTAATGTACAAGTTCAATACAATTGTATTTTTAAATAACATATATATATTTTGATTTTTAATGAAGGATCTGTGAATATGACTTACCAGGGATTGAAATTTTGGGTGACTATTGCATGGTTTAGGAGGCTTGTTGAACCTTAACACGTGCACGGTTCGTTAGACAGTTACATATGTTAAGACACAGCCTGCAGCAAAAGTGTTGGCCATCACTACGAAATAAATGTTTGATCTTCATCCATATGATTCATTATCAAAATTGCTGCGAATACTTAATTCTAAATTAAAAGATGATATTTCTATCTTCATAAGGTCATATTTAATTTAACTTATATACATATTTGTTAATGTGTGATTTTAAAACACCTAAATCATGTCTTATGAGTTTATTAGACAATACGGATTTCAGAAAGTCGTAACGTTTTACATAGAGTTTTAGAGCCAGACATCCGTTAATGTTGTATTTCAGGTAAATTTAATACAGGTAACTATCATAAATGTGTTACTTGGTACTATATGTTTACGTCATGCGGTGTCGAACCTTTCATGATGGTATTGTGAAATACCCATTTAGCCTATAATCTCAATGGTAAAATGTCAAAAAACTGGGACATATTCCCCCTTACTTAAGTTCAATCTTAAAGTAAGAGTATCGAATAACCAGACCGATTCAGGTATCCAACACGGATTTATATACAAACAAAACATTTAAAGAACCCGTTCCTCTTAGATGAATGACTAGCCTGTAAAATATGAATGAATGGAATTTTACCCAACTTATTGAACTATGCAGACAGTTCAGCTGGGTATATATTGCAGATACAACGTTTTTCTTTGAGTATGTGGCATTTGTTATAATAATTCGTTAATTTTAATCGTACCCTTCCTATATTCTTAAGCAAACCTTTTTACGTATTTCGTTCATCACATATTCAATATGACAAGGGAAGATTTGAAATATATCAGACCACTCATGAAAACGCCCACGCAGCCTTTTACTATATCAAATACTACATAGGAATTCTATAGACACGACTGAACCTGCTTATAAACATATTCAACATAGATAAGTTAAAACATGAACCGTTTACAAAACTGGTAACGAAATAAAAATGTTATTCATGGCGCCGCGATGGGTTTGTTTGCGATTTATTAGCATTACAATAACACTAACCCTGAACTAAGATAGCGCCATTGACGGGATACGCTGTTATTTGGTGTGAGGTGATTTCAGAGGTGTGTTATTTTTCAGCCAATCAGATTCGTGTATGTGATATGTCCTGATCGAGTTTGGTGAGGTGATAGTGACCTAGATACGCGTGTTTAGTGCAGTGTGTCTTATATGCACCATAAATAGTATAAACATGTTTAGATATCAGTTGCAGGGACTTGTCATAGCTCAGCGACACAGAAGTCATGGTTGAATGGTTTATGATTTTGTAGATTATCAAAATCGAAACCCAAACACATATGTATTTGGATCCAAAGAATAACCATCAGTTAAAAACTATGAAATGATTCATTTTTAGATCTGAATTAAAAAAAAAAAAGCGTCATTAGGAAATGTTACTGTTTTTGTCATTAAGCTAACAATTCAGCTTGGTGTGCCTTTACCTTAACGTCCTTGAAGTAGATGGTACAAGGTATCGGGACCAAGGTGTATAAAGATTTGTCAACTTAACATGTAAGCTTAAGTCTGAACATATTGATGTTGTTGTTTTTTGGAGGGTTTTTTATTCATTTTAAATCCAATGATGTATATATTTCGATTTGATTTATCCTCATTAAGAAACGAATTTATATCTAATTTTACGTTAAATATTTGAGTTAGCTAACAAACCTTAAGTCTGACACTGCTTATATACAAAGTATTGCCTGTTTCATGTAAGTGTATCTAAGTAGATTATACAATATCTATAGTTCAAAATTCATTATCGATTCTCCGAAATAGGTATAATTATCATGTATTTCGTCTCCGTCAAGGAACAGTTTTTATTTTCTGAGATAACTTTGAGAATATCTTATTTCAAAACTCCTACAATCTGTAGTACGTTTCACTAAGCTAGACAAAACGGCTAAGGAATAACACAATAAACCCGAAGCAAGAAAACGCATATTTAAAAAAAATAGCATTTCGATACCTTAAACCAAAGTAAGCACTTATTGCACTATCTGGCTATTTCGTCCATTTGGACTCACTATAGGTTACGGAAACCTCGGAGAATGACAATTCCCCAGCAGAGACATCCATCTTGTATCACTAGAATACGAAGTAATCAAACGCTAATTAAAACAAAAATGAAGTCGATGAAGAAAAGCAAACAAACCTAATAGGAAGATACAAACAAATCTAAAGAATATGTCATATTAACAAAACCCCTTTATCTGCCAATTAATAAATCTACGCCGTGCTTTTCAAAGCAAAGAAACATCCGCGAGTTTGCACATGTTGGGACAAATTATGCATAGCTAGCGATAATTTACATACCCCATAAAAAAGATGTCATTTTAAAAACGTATTACTCAGGATAAGTGTGTACCGCTTTGATGAACAACTTTATGTTTATATATAGCAGAGGATTAATTAAGATATTGGATGTTTGCCAATAGATGTACTGTCGTGCAATGTGCAATTTCCTTATATTGTCATTATTCAGAACGCAGGAAAACTGTGGATGTGCTGGTGGAACCGAAGACACCAATACCCTGAAACGGAGACGAATCATTAGCGATCATAAAGAAGTAGTTTATTATTTTCCAGTTCCCAGACGTTGCAAAAACACACCGCAAAGAAACAATTCAAATTGCGTCACTTTTCCCTTATTTCAATTTTTTGTGACATCAATTTAGCTAATGACGTTGAAATGATTCTGACGTCACAATAAATCGTTACCCTTCCTTAACATGAACTTTTATGCAATGCTTCAAACACGCTTATTGTAGCTTCCTATAATCTATTTATATATCTCAGCATTGATATACACGAGATAGGATGAAATTACGTATTGTGTATTTCACCCGAGTTCAGCCGAGTGTTATATCCTACATATAAGTTGTAACATGCAAAGCGGTATATCGAGTAAAGGTCAAACTGGACTCGATGAAAACTAACTAGCTCTGCATTGAGGGTGAAATTTCCTAGCCAAGTGATAGAATTAACTTCTTAGCCGTCTAATGCATTCAATTTGTTTGTTTTTGTCTCGTTGGTTTTTGCGTGCAGGTGGCACATTAGTCGCCTCATACGACTCCTCGACTGTTTCGTGTTGGATACAGCGATTCTTTCCTGATGTCCGCGAACTTGTTCGACTGTACTGTTGAAACATTTTAAAAAAACCAGTCAGACCGACAAAACAAAATCACAAAAACAAAACAATCTGTCACAGAGTGTGGCGTAGATATTGTAGAACCCGTGTATAAAGGTTACACCTACAGTAATGTCAGCATGTTTAACAGCGTGTCACGTGCATAAAAACACCTACATCGCTTGCTGTATTGGTGTCATACAGTACTAGCCCCATGTATGTCTGTATTGTAGCATTGTCTAAATGTCGCAGTGTTAGTCCATTGTTTCAAGTAACAGAAAAAAAAGGGAAATTATGTGTATGTATGTTGGTGTCGTTGGCGCCGTGCTATGTATAACCGGTATATAGTTAGATCTAGTTTGGAGGTCGCGTTCCCACGGATCCTAGTCGTACCGCTTATATCACACGTATACCTACTACATACATACACAACAACCCATACACAATGTATTGATCGTTTTTAGGATGAATAATACTGAAGGCTTTCTAAATTCTTATCTCATTTTATATCGCATTAAAACGCGTCCACAATAACTCCTTCGGCATGTCTATTACGGTGTCGTTGCATTTGATCCTTCTTTTCAGCTGCAATGGAAATTTTACGGGTCCAAATGTTTTGTGGTTTTCATAAAAAGTGAACACTGTACACCGGGAATCTTTCGCCCAGCCAAATATTTAAGCAATGAATGTTTTAGCAAATGCTGTTATGGTCCTATAACACACATCATATGAAATATAAATGCGTCGAAAATGTCCAGGTACATAGCATGTATTGTTACAAAAGGCGCCTCTAATGAGTTTTTTGTTGTTCATGTTTAAACATAAGGCAATAACCATTGGTTATCTTAAATTGTGCAATCACACTAAAATGTCCAAACATTGACAAGGAAGTAAAACAATTTTCCAGACAACCTTATGACAACAGACTCAAAAGAGGGTCATTTAGGATCACAATTACTATAATGGGGATGGTTGTCAATTTCTAGATTTTAGTCCTTTCGGTGATTTCCCAAAAATAGAAAACGCAGAAAGGGGATGGATGGTTTTATTAATCTTATTCATGGGCGGTTTTATTCACAATATAGCTTCAGAAATCCTGAAATACAAAGCTATAGTAAACATTGCTAAATATTGAACAAAAAGGTGCGAATATGTATGAAACTTGTGCTACTCTTCAAATTATGTCATAACTGCAACTGAGCATAATTATTTTAACATATGTTTTTGAGTTGATGGATATATTTCCATTGTCATTCTTTCACAAGATACTGTTAAAACAAACATGACACATTTCATTTGGAGATAAATTAAACATCCTATATAAACAGCTGATAAATCCGATTTCTGTCAATGTACCACAGTGTCAGCACAGACGGAAATCTAAAAATTGTAGACATCATAACAAAACAAAAGACATCAAAAACTTCCACCAAATACGGGGGCCACAGAAGGGGAGGTGTATGTGGAACCCGTTCTATGTTAAAACAGTTAACATGTCACCATTGATTCGGTTCTCGTGAAATCCTTGTCTTCTTTGGAAGGATGTGTTCTCTATCGACTTATCCAGGGTATCTCCTTTACCGGGCATGCCTATTTATGATTTGTAACTATAAGTATATATATTCTCAATGTGTTTTCCTTCATTTGACAGGGGACAACATGACATGAACCACATGTGGTGTAAGGAATGTTTAGCCCTTCGGAACACAAGGTATTGCCAGATATTTTTTATCAGATGCTTGTGAAGGTTGTTTGGTTGTGTGGTGGTGATGGTGGAAGCAGTGTAGGTGGAGAGCGGGTTGTGTTTCCGTTGAATTGATATTTATTTCAATTTGCATTGTGTCTGTCAGTTTGACATTCGATTTCTAACGTTGTCCTTGTGTATAAACGATTTAACCTAATATGTTAACGATGTGTTTGTGTGTCCTATTATTGTTAACGATATGTTCATTTGTGTAAATTATGTGTTAATCTGTGTTAACGATGTGTTAATTTGTGTAAATGATGTGTTCATCTGTGTAAATGATGTGTTAATCTGTGTTAACGATATGTTTGTGTGTTAACGATATGTTTATTTGTGTTAACGATATGTTTATGTGTGTTAACGATATGTTTATTTGTGTTAATGTGTGTTCACGATNTATGTGCTTATTTGTGTTTACGATATGTTTATTTGTGTTAATGTGTGTTAATGTGTGTTCACGATATGTTTATTTGTGTTAAGGTGTGTTAATGTGTGTTCATGATGTGTTTATTTGTGCTTATGGTTCTGATTCACCACCTCTACCCTACACTATCCATGGATAAAAAAAACCATTACATTTTGTCATGTGATTACTAGACGCACAAGTCAAAAAGTTACAATCGATACAATGTAAATACTTTGTAGACATATACATTTCTGGCTGATCGAGTATAACGGTATACATATACACTAGCTCGGTTTTAAGTGACATAGTACCCACGAGATAATACCCTAATGTAAACATGCCCTGTTGGGGTCAGTAGGCTCCGCGACACACAAAAGACCAATGATTTTACGTTAATCTACGTGCATTACACATACGACTTATCGGGCACGATAAAACTTAGTATATGTTTAGTGAATTTATCAAACCATATCAGTTACAATATGATTAAAAATTCCTGTCTGTATACCGTATTAGTGGCCCATCTTTTATATTCTTGGTAATTCCCCACTAGGCAAGACTGTAAAAGTCACTGATTTATATTTTAAGTGCTTTGCCTTTGATTTGAAATTTGAAATTTAATCTACCATGATCGTTTTTAATCACTTAATTAAAATAAGAATTCTAGAAACATTATAGCAACATGAAAATGATTTCCATGTTATTGATTCCTCAGAATTCAAATCACCACAAAATTGATACATATCATGTTACTACATACCTACCCTGCTAATTACTTAGGAGCCTTGTAATATAGTATAATATAAAAGTTATTTATAAATTAAGAACATAAACGTACATGAATTTATTCATGTTTTGTTACCAGTTGCTGATAAACAATAAATAAATAAACATACACATTTCTGTTTTAAGTATCATGTTATTATATTTGATATCAATATTAGTTAGTAATATGTGTATATACATGTAAATATCGTCACAACATCGAGAGCTATTGCCAATCCAAGCGTGTCTACTTTACACCGGCAGGAGAGTGCATTGGGCAAAAAACACGACATGTGTTTCCCGGGGGCTGTGTGTTTATAGCGCTCTAGTTTAAAGTCGTGATAGTCACTTTGTTTTACCTCGTGATTACCTGTATAATACACTCACCTTTCCCAAGACACCGTCTAACACCTGGTTCTGTTTCATATCCGCTGTCGACACCTCGTGTTTGGGATTGAGGAGACACATTTTCCCTTTTATGTTGTATATCCTTTTCTGATTCGATCTTTCTGCCTTCGTATCCCGATATTGCTAAGCACGTTAGAATGAAAATTGTATGAAATAATATCCTCAATCGACATTTCACTAATTTTGTCATGATGTGTCAATGTCGAAAATAACACTGTGTTCAGTATACACCTATAACAATTCACCTGCTGGTGATCCACAGATTCACAGGTAATATATTTAACGTGTGTTTAACTTTGTGAATCACGTGGTTTATAAAGGGTATGGAGGTCATACAGCTATATTCGGCTTTTGTAAACACTTACGTCATGATCGTGGTAAAGGTTTTTGCGGTATACAGTCGTGGGATAGACACACAAATACGACGTACCACGGTGGTCTGACCTTTTCATCGTGAAGCCTGGCATTTGCAAGTTACATTTCAAATGTACAAAATGGATCAAACCAAGTTCTGAAAAAATACTGATAATTTCAGATTTCAATAGGTAAATCATAGCATGAATACAAAATTGAGTACAGTACATAGACAACACAAAGATTAACAGGATAACACAGTTATTCAGATTGCTTTGAATGCATGACCAATATGTTATCCGATGTTTTGTGAATGGCAGGGGGCATTTCGGGAAAGAAAGGAAATTGTTCGTCAGGCCAAACTTTAATTCTCGTCAAATAGACGAGCCCGTTGCAATACAAATAACTAGTACGATAAATAAGCAAGGACGACTATTTATAAAGAGTGTTTGACAGAGCATTAACGCTTAACGTTTTCTGATGTGTAAAGTGTCAATCTATAAGGCAGAGTGACAGACAGGTTATTCTTTGTTCGTGGTGTATATCTAGACGTTAGACTCAGTCAACTGTTCAGAAACTAAAACATAAAATCATTAGACTATGTTTAATTGATCACCAACCCAGATGTTCACCCTACAATGTATCCTTGACCCCAGTTCATTCTAGCTCTATCAACTTATCACGACCCTGATATCGTAAATATTTTATTGATATTGTTGTTTGGTTGAATAAATCACTCTTCTGAATTTTATTGAGTTGATTTAATTCAATTGAATATGTTAAATCAGCTGTAAATAGAAAGCTACCACATTTGCATATAGTTAGACGTTTAGGAAAAATTCTTTATAGTGCGTCACGTTAAGCTAACAAATCTTTTAACCAATTGAGCACGAATGGTGTTGAGTTACCAGCAGTTGCATGGCATATACTGCTGTAAGTTTTTATATTTTTCTAAAACTTTCAAAAGTTTATTACATGCATATATATGCAATATGTAACAGAAAGATACACATTAGTAAAATATTATTATCTTATATATGATATCCATTAACCTTTATAAATCTATTACTTTTTACATTTTTAGTTGTTTCTTATAAAAAAAGTAATATTGAAATTCAAGGAATTAGAATTAAATTCACAACAGGCTATATTATGACATAAACTATTAACCAATATTTTACTGTATGACCCTGTGTGAACCTTGTTTGTGGATAGTCAGTAATATTCCACAATACGCTGTATTATAGCATATATCTATAGTCTGCCGTTTGGCCCTCTATGGACAAGTTTGTTGATGGTCATTTATATTTCGCGATATTTATTTATTTTATTGGCGATGAAAGAACACATATGTATCATGATTTTAAATACTTTGCAAAAATCAACACGACCATTTACAAACTAGCATTTTGTTATTCTTTTTGCAAATCTAACACCTTAGCGAATGTGTCGCTGGAAGAATCATTGCGAATATAAGTTTACTCAAAAGTCAGAGTAGTACAGCATTGGTACATGTATCATATAGCAGTGAAGAAATAAAACTAATAAAAGCGATTTCTCAAAGACCCGATCCTGGTCTGGTGACCTCCGGTTTCTTCAGTAATAGTGACATATTTTGTTATACGTATTAATACTTAAATTAAATCACTTGACATTCTCACATTAGAGTACAAATATTTTTGTATTCATCCGGAGCTGTCAATATGTTATCTTAATTTCCTATTGGTAAAACATACATGAAGTGCATACAGATGAGCGGGTTATCGCCCTTATCGTGAAACTTGATCTAAATCCCTGCTTTGATGCCGTTTATTGTTTTGCGTATTTTTAACAAAACATCTTTAGAAGAATGAGTGTAGCTTGTTTATATTTAAACTTAGTGTTGGACAATGACTTAGCAATACCCCTACATATCCTCCTTTAAAGTATAAAATGCAACGATGTTGGCTTAAAACACAAAATTATAATCTTACTTTCGGAATAACACTATCAAATGATAAGCAATGTATAGAGCTAATACTGTGGAAACTGCCAACAGGACAAGTTGTTTTTTTATCCTTCCTTGTTTGGTCACGTCTGGTCTATATGATCTTCCCCATCGATGCTTCTTACCTCCATCATAAAATAGCTGATGGCATGTTTTAGGTCACCAGCAGAAAATCCCAACCCATCAATAATGATACCAAAAGCCTTTCTCACTGTGGTATTTCTATATATCTGTCACTGTTTAATCAGATTTTCTGTAAAAAAGACGGCCCGATATGTTTAATGCATCATAGTTTTGAACACAACCTACTTCAAAATATTGCCAAAGTCAAAACTTTTGAAACGGTGTACCAGATTATTGCCAAAGTCATCATTTTTGAAGCGGTACAGCAAGTCTAAATGATTCATGTTTTCGTCATCATGACTGCTGTTTTTCTGTCTACTTAGCCGCTACCATTTCTTGACCAATGTCCCGCCTTTGAGTGTAAGAAATAAAAGTGTTAAATCTGTTCCCAGTGGTCTTCCGAAGCAAGCATATCACTTTGACACTCTTTGCATCAATTGTATTTCTTGCACATATGTTGCAAAATTGTTGACTTGTATTAACTTTGCTGTATCATTATCGGAAGATATAGTCGTAAATGACTGATGGAAAGTTAATGTATTTGATGGACTAGTGCATGCAAAAGCAATTCATTTTTAGCTGTTTTGATATCAGGAATAATATATAATTGTTCTATAGTAAAAAATGGAAGGGGTTTAAAGTTGCAGCCCAAACGGGCCTCGATACCCGCCTTTTTCTGCTAGCTATTGTAAAGTTGTCGTCTGAACTTCATAATGATAATATCAACAAATAAATCATAACAAAGAGGATGCAGTGATAGATTGGCAGACAAAGGTTGAAAAAAAGCGCAACAATCGAACTAGAGTGGGGAAGTGGGTTTTTTCCAGTAATTTTGTATTCAATGTTGTCGGTATGATGGCAATCGTGTGTATAGTTAACCCGTTTTAAAGATAAATACCAGATTTTCACGAAATCATTGAAACAGTGAGTTTAAAAAGGGGGAGAACACCAATTCTTAGCTTTTGTTAACACTAAAATAATCATTCCACCTTGTATGAAATGACAATGTAAAATAATAAGGAGTTAACCCCAATTTTAACATAAATCACGATGTTACAGTGTCTATTTATTATTTGACATAAGCTCCAGTAATAATTCCATTTTAAGAAAAACGGAAATGGAAACAGTTTTTGGAAATGGTTTTATTTAACAAAACAAAAACCATATTCTTTAAACAATGATGTGATGAAATTAAAAATAATCTCTATATATTTTTTTCGTTCATCTAAATTTATGTCAGTCATATTGTCCAATCCATTTTCGAAATTTACCGATGCAAGTTGGCAATTGCTTATTTGCGTTGAGCATTAAGAATGATCTTTTTGGTGTTGATGATTTTGTTATCCTCGTTCAAAGCTAGATCTAAAGATGGTCAATTTGTGTTGGTAAGTTGGCATGTTTCTGGTCAAAGGTTAACAGTGAGACTGAAGTATTCTGAAGTAACAAGCTTGGGGAGGAAGATGAATTGTTGTTTTTAACTTATTTAGTTATTTAAGTAGTGTTATGAAATAGAGGATGCGATTCAGAATTCGGAAGCATTCAGGACCCGTATTCATGAAACCGTTCTTTTTTTTCAATGATTTGGAAAAACTTTGAAGTGACTTAAAGTCGAATACTGTTTTCAATATTTTCATTTGACGTTTTGATCGTTTGACATGATTTAAGTGAGTTACAAGAATGTTGGTTTGAGCACAAAATCAATGCTTGAGCATGAAAACGGATATTGCACAATCACATGACGTAACTAACCCTTATCAGTCATAGTTTGGGTGATACCGACATTGCTCCGACCATGCAAACAATGTCTACCAACCGACACAAAAAACAACTCTGCTTATCTAATTGTTCTGGTGATTTGATAATGATGAATGTGTGTTATAATGACAGAAAATTTACACTTAGACATCCTGACAGGACCCCAATTGGCCATTAGTTAATAATTGTCATTGCTGGAGCCGAATTGTTTTTAGCTTTTGATTGACAGATTACTTAATAATTGTGTAGCGGTTGACATTTCATTTCCGATTAGTTTAGGCTCGACCATTGCTTCTGTAGTTGAAACCTTGAATTGTTGTGCCCTTTACAAGAAAGGACAAGTAAGTTTTTGTTTATTCTGTGCCTAATTGATGCTTAACTCGTTCCTATATATTGAGTGTCGTCTACTTCCTTACATCAATATGAAACTGGCACAAACTTTCATCCAATTTTACTTAACTGAATTCTTCGAAAGCGGCGTCCATTACATTACATATGATTTAATAGCTTTGTAGCCGTTCTGTTGAATTCAATATCTTATGTGCACCTTAACCTCACCTCTGTTTTGCCATGTAATCTACCATATTCAGGAAGCCATCATGACAATCTGCCTTAGGGATTGCCAGAAACAGAAATATTCCTATTTATGGTGTAGGGGCAGTAACTCATACTGAAAGGCATGGAAGACTTTTACAAAAAAAGAATGATTAGCATTTGATGGAATGTATTGAATATTTCGAGCGATAATCTCTCTGCCATGTTGGAAGCCGCTACAAACCCGCAATAAAATGTACCCCCTCATTATAATATCTCATTGAAAATCCGCCACGTGACGGTGCTTCACCAAAAAATGAATGGCATTATTGTCCGAGATGCAATGAAAATAACTTACTACACAGGAAATTCATTTACCATTCTTTGCTCAGAGTTACTCTTCTATTTACTCGCTTAAATCATGTGACACGATCTGAAGGTCAAATGCGATTATTGAAAAACATAATCGTAGTTAACACTCGGAAAGAAATTCTAAGTTATTGATAATTTCTATTAATTAATCACCGTAACAAGAAAATGGGCTTAAGCGCAGAATTTGACTTTAAACATTAGGACGGTTTCAAGAGTGCAGATCCTAAATAACGTTACCTGAACTCGGCTGTATGTCACACCAGTATTGCGCTCCCTTCGTTAGCCCTTTGTATGGTACAGATCACGGCATAATGTTCTGGTGTATATATATACAATGAACTAAATGAAACAGCTCCTCATAATTTAAAGTATATTTTTTATCAATTGTTAAAATAACTGGTTTCAGGATATCAGCTGTGTGTACCTAAATGATCTACTGTGACCAACAAGAATAACTAACAGCCTTTTACCAGAAAGGCAAAATGTATGTCTCCTTTAAAAAAAAAATGCATTTGCATGCTGCTTAATGTTCGTTGGAACCGTTCTCTGAACATCGTGTGTATTTTCAAAATAATAAAGATACAATAATGCATTATGTTAATGTTGTATATTTTTATCATATACTGTACATGTTAATTACCATGAGTACAATAAGAAGCAATGTAAATGTACACACAAATTGTGTGAGTTAAAGTTTAAATTCCGAATTGAAATGACGAGGCAAATACGCATAAACACGGTATTACTAATCTTGTAACGTGGTCTACATATCTCAATTAATTGTTCACGTAAATATGTGAATATATAACCCGAGAAAAGATACTACCGAGAAAAGGTCAAGTGAAGTGACGTTATGAATAGAATATTAACCTGTCGCTTCTGAAAAAAGACTAAAAATACTAACATCGAGTCAATATATCATATCATCAACCTTTTATGTGAGTATGATTCAACCAACGAGTAACTAGAAAAAATGTTGTCGCATGATATACCAATATATATATATGTACGGGGTCAAAAGCAAAGGCCATCATGTTTACTTTCCGACAACAGTCATATTATATCTTATTTTTAAGACAAAGGCATTAAAGATAATTTTCCATTGTCTATTTGCATAACTACATAATTAATAACAAACTAATCTGAAACGAAGCCCTGTAGTTTACCGTAATGTAATGTAAATACTTCCACTGACCTCATTCATCGGGGTTAGTTTAGAGTTCGTTGATGAACGAAGATTTCATCAATCCTTATTAATAGAACAATGCATTTTAAACATCATCCTTATTAGCAATACGTATTGCTAATAAGAATGATTTTTAGATGCATTGTTCTATTAATAAGGATTGATGAAATCTTCGTTCATCAACATACCCGCATATCGTATATACATGCATGTTCATCTGATGATACAGGCATCACGACTTTGTAGTGCGGATGTATATCAATAGTAGACGATGGCGTGTGTACATACATCCGCGCAATAAATGAGTACTAATTGAGTCAGATGAACATAAATGCGTGGTACGGCATAACACATTAAAATCTGTCGTTATCTTCATGATAGTCCGAACCAAACAAACCATGACGGGAAAATTGAGGTTTCGTGATAGAATAATACAATGAAATGATTTCGGGATCGAAATTTAAATGAGAACTTTGTTCGTGATAATAGTATTGATAATACATAAAGTTCACTTTAAATCCAACCAATAAAGCTCAGTACAACATTTATTCTTAAATTTTCGTTTTTATCTTTCAAAAGCAAAAGAGTATATAGGTCCAAAAAAGAATAATTTTGCACAATATTTTACAAAGGTTATAGAGAGCTCGTATCGGGCTTATTTATAATTAATGATAAAAAGAACCTAAGAAATACTTTAAATATTGGGTAGCTACGGTAATGCTTATTTTTTTATTTATTTTTCTTATTTTTGCTTATTACCTTTACGTGGTTTCAAAACTTTAATATATTGTACAAATTGCCAAGATTCCGAATATAAAGTGAAATGTCTAATGCCATCCTCATTCTTCAACATCCATTGATAAGAAATAACCCTTGCATTAACTCATTCTTCGCAAAAAATATATACTTATCAGTTATTGACTTTTGGTGAGGTGAACATATTCATCGAACAAAAATCCTGGTATACTGTTATATTTCATGCTCAATAAGATTTTGTATCATTAAACAAAATAGAAATATGAAATTATACGGAGGAGACATTTGATGGAAGCGTTATGACGTTACAATTGAAATATCGGTCACAAAGTTAAAATATTAATCTGCTGCTTCTCAATAAAGTAGAACACGGGGTCAATATAAACAATCATTGACCTCCAAGTTATTAGGATCCAACAAAAGAGGATGAAGGGAAAATGTGTGTCATGTACTAATCTATGATATTTTACCGCCATCACCGATCACTAAATAAAATACTAGTATATTCCACGATTACTTTTCTGACAAAATATGTCGTTACGTCAAATAATAGTAAGTTAGTATTGTGATATATTTTTAACTTTGTAGTGCTGAAAAGTGATATTAAACAATCGTTTGTAGAATTAAACAATTTGGGCTGTGTCAGGTAATTGAATTAAATTTCAAATTATATTTCACTATCGTGACTGGAAAACATTTGTCCCTGTGTTGAAAGTTGCATCAGCTATATCAAATTAATAAGAGGTGATCAATAATTGCTTGAATCCATTCCCACTACATATTAAAATGCTTCGTGACGTTTCTATTGACGCTGTGATGTTTTAGCACACTTTTGTGACGTTTCTATTGACGCTGTGACGTGCTGCACACTTTTGTGGCGTTTGAACTTATCAAGCAATGTTTCATCACACTTTGTTACATTTCATAAAGCTTCATACGTGTCATGAGCCATGAAGCTCTGTCATAGAGAACGAGGCTTTGTATGTGTCATGACTATTCTTCGAGAGTCTAATTCGTTCGTAACGCGTCAACTTGCGTGTTTCACGTGTAAAGGTACTGTGAATCGAGCCAAAACACGATGTATTATTACATAATCATTACCGATGTTTGGTACCGGCCCTGGAGAAACTTGGAGGCAGTTTGCTGTTTGCTTCCTCATCATCATTTAGCTGGTCATCCCTAATTGACTTTACACCATTTTTCTTCTTGCTACACAACCTTAGTATCCCAATAACGACTATGTCCGAAACTATCTCTATAATCTCGAACAAGGACACAATGGACAATCCTATCCACAGTCCGAGCTGACCACCGATGTCCGACAGAAGGTTCTCCACCTGTTAATGGTAACATGTTAACATATTATCCTGAGAGTAAAATAACATTTCGGCAAGGGGGATAACTCAATCGGTTATTGAAGCATACACTAGGTGGCTTTGGGTTATGGTGACCAAGGATTATGTGTGCTTACGGAAAAAACAATTGTTTCTTTCAACGTACTACTGTTGTTGCATGCAAAGCGTTTGTATACGACATAAAATCGTTTATTCACAAAGTAGAGAAGGATAAAGAGATAAATGTATAACAATTTGAATTCCAGTTTTTATCATGGATTTATAAGAAACATTTTGTAAAAGGGTAGCACGCACCTATCCGGCCAAACCTCACCCCGAAATCTTAGGTGTAAGATCTTTGGAAAAAAATCACAACAACCGATAAAAAAAAGCCTTTCCATCTCTTCTGTAACAACATGTACAGGTATAAACAACATTCAGTCCATCTTATTATACCCCAAGTCTACTAATACAACTATTTACAACTTTAGTCTGTTTTTTGGTATTATTGAGGTCTTTTTTTTTTGTATTACTGAAGTCTGTTTCTGATATTACTGATGGGTGTTTTTGGTACATCTTTTGTGTATTTAAAGTATAACGTTAGTCTGTTTTTTGGTATTATTTGAGTCTGTTTTTGGTATTACTTAATTCTGGTTTTGGTATTACATTAGTCTGTTTATGGTATAACATTAGTCTGTTTTTGGTATTACTTACCTCATATGATGCTTCTGTTTTGATCACTTCGAAGTTCAAGTACCGATAATATATTTCTACTTTAACTCCATTTTCACTGGAATAATAAACAGATGTCGTTATATTTAAAACAACATTAAACATAAATGAAATTTTAATATAACTAGGATTGGAGTGTAAACAATAATTCATAGGGTTTTAAATAAATGATTTTAGTTGAAAAAAAGTATTAAACGCAAAACAAAAGATGCATTAACCTAGGACTGGAGAACCGACAACGTCTGTCAGAGTTTGGAAATAACGCTACTTACTTCATAAAACTCCTTTTTTCGGTTTCCGTCGAACTCGTCGTTATGGTAGAGAAGATTGTGCTGGAGGCAGATCGGAAGTCGTTGATGGCGGCGTCCTGTTGACGACAAATCGTGTTAAAAAGACTCGAAAGACAGAAGAAGAAATAAGAAATAAAAGGAAACATATCCAATTCGTAAACCTTTACAGAAAACGGAGATGGAAACAGATAATTCGGAAAGTGTCATCTGAATGAATACACAAGTGGCAACTAAACCAAACTTCGAACTTAGATAAAGTAGAGACCGCTCATGGTTTATATGTAAATAATAAATTATTTCACACTGCATGGTAGTAAACAACGAAATCGTAAAACTATAGTTAAGATCACTATGATGTCTAAATAGGACGCTTCTATCCTGAAATTTTGGATACTTTGAACATGCCTCAATTGTGATAGGTATGAATACCTAAAGCAGGGGGACCTATTGTATCATAACTAATGTAATCAAAGTCAGCTTAATGGAGACTTTTATTCTGAAAAAGGGTCATTGTCTATCATATATTCGCTTCCTCTGTTGTTTTCTTTTAATAAAGATGCCCTTCAAAGGACTCCGAAACTATTTCATTATCTTCGCATACGCAATGATTTATAACTTGAATCATAACAGTCCAACTTCGCGATGACGTCGCGATGACGTTTTCAGAGACGTACTACAAGAAACGGACCAGAATCCTCGACAGCTGTGTGCAGTCGACATGTTCATTTCCATTAAGTCTCACGACATACAATGTACATGTATTTTGACCTTAGGTTCAACTAGATATTTGACTGATCTTGTTTTGAAAATAAACTTTATATATTTTTCAACAACTGAGAATCATTTCCAACTTATATCCAACACACTTCTGACCTGTTGGTGACACACAAGAGATTTTGGTGTGATAGGAAAGCGGAGCACCGAATGGCCCTATACCTTTTCACGTCCGATAAGAAAACCCCGACCTTATAAGTATAAAGAAGTGTTAGAACTGACCATGTATGCGGTGGACGGCCAGGCGGACATGGACACTTCCGTCATGAACTCTGTTTCACTGAAAACAAAGTTGAAAACTGAACAATTGTTATTAGAATTATTAATGAATCGATACTAAAAAAACTGAACTTGCCCGATTATTGAACAGAAACAAATTGAATTTGGTTTTTATTTATTTTCAATTAAAAAACATGTTTTAACTCCCATCGCTCTCTCTGTTTTCTTTAACTATAAAAAAGTGTCGATAATATAAACGTTAAAGGTTAAAATAGGTATATACTTTAAACAACTTAATTAAAAAAAAACAAGTCAATTACATTTACTTAAAACGCATGAAACTTCTGTAAACTGGTAAATAGAGGAGAATTTGTCATCTTACATTTAATCAACAGCATAAGTCACGTTTAACGGTGTAAACAATGTTACTAGGCCGACAGATGCACGATGCAAGGTACAAGGTATACAATGGAGGACATACATGCGTTTTACTAACTGGCATTTATTGCCTTTACGGCTAGAGCAAGACTATGGTTAAGATCACAACCTTTGCCATTTTTAATCCTTTGATGTCCCCCAAGTAGGGGAGACAGAAAATAGTTCCCGATTCTGAAGAGGCCAGTTGATTACAGTATATATGATTTTGACCCGGACCCAAACAGGGCAATAGGCGTCTGTTCGATAAATTTCCACAATTGTTTTTGTTTTCAATAAAAACATGATATATGCCAGTGAGAAAACGCAATTAATTTGCATTTACAATATATACTTAAATCAAATGTCTTTACAACCCATATACATAACGTACTCGCAAGGTGGAACGCAGGACGATGAACAGGGCAGATCACTCTTTTCATACTTTTCCAGTACATTGCTTTCACATATTGCTGTGCGAAAAAACATATAAAATATGTCAATGTATTGCAAAAGTTCGGTCGGAACATTACACAGGTAAAGTATAAGTTTCAGGGATATAACACGTTTCCGGTTCCCTGAGACAAGGTTTATTGACCGATGAGAAGCTAAGAAAAAACGGTCTGGCCAAGGAAAACCAGAAACTTGTTACTGTATAACATGAAATGTTCGTTGTGTATAAACATTCGTGGTTTTCGTTGTCGCTATTGAACCACGAAAATAAATACAACGAATTTGAAAGATATACTTGTCTACTGTTTTATATAGGATATCAACGAAACGATCTAAATGGCTTCAAACCACGAAGGAATGTATCCACGAACATTTCGTGTTATACAGTATATTCCTCAAGTGATTACTTTAAAATTTTGAATAACTCGTTCACCAATTAAGTATAGCGTAACCCCGCTGTCAGATCATTATTCACCTAACCAAAGCGCTGGACGAGTACTTTCCAGTTACTATTTTTCGTTACAGGCATTATCGTTTGTTGATCTAAACCGACCGTCATCTGGAGAGTCTGCACATATTTTGCATAATTGAGGTATTCATTAATGATATATTCAAACAAGAATGCCTTGAAAAATAACATTTTCTGCCAAATGTGTATCAATATACTTGTAATTTTGGACAGCAATTTTATTTGTGCAAATCTATCGGTATAAATTATGTAAAACATCTTTGTAAAATAAGATTATCAGCACACAAATTATATATTCAATGTGGCAGGTATAATAATATCAAAAGAGGAAACATACTGTTTACATTATGTAACAAGATTGAGATAGGAGATGCATTTCGTTTCATTTTGACATGTCCTTGCTATGCTGACATAAGATCTAAATTCATCAAAAGATCATATATAAATCGTACTAGCATGTTTAAATTTATGCAACTGCTAAACAGTAATAGTTTATCAGAAATTAGAAATTTGGGTAAACATTTAGTGCATGCGATCAAGAAAAGGTCTCAACTTCTTTAATTAGTGGTAAATGTTCAATCTCCACTAGTGTAATGTACAAATATAATATCTTGATATATATTATGTTTGCATGGTTATATATTGTATTGTACTGTATATATGTTGTATTGTACTGTGTATATGTTGTATTGAACTGTATATATATTGTATTGTACTGTATATATTGTATTGTACTGTATATATATTGTATTGTACTGTATATATGTTGTTTTGTACTGTATATATGTTGTAACCGATAAGTCGAAAAAATTAAAGTAATAATAAACATGCAAACTTGCACATGAAAATGGCGCTTGGATTCTGTCGTACACGTGATGAAAATATGTGACTTTCTGAAAATGTACCTTCAATGTCAGTAAAAGGTGTAGCTTTGCATATATTCTTACATTTGACATCTTCTCAACGTGTAACATATATAATGACAAACGACTGGAAAGGTCATGGCTGAGTCAAGTACACCACACATAACAGCTACGTGATCATGTTTGTCCTCTAGACGAATAACAGTAATATTTCTTTTGATATAATGTTGATAATTGTTAACATTTTGCTATTATGGTGGGGGTTTTTTTCCATCTTCGTTACTAAATTATGATAGTCCAATGTCACCAAGCGAACAAACAACCTAGTTGTATTAAATAAAGGGAAGTGACTCCGACCAATTTGACATGTTTGCTGTTTTAATTGACTGAACAGGATTTTCGCGTTTTCATGACTAGACTACATTATTCCGTCTTTGCGTATTGCAGAGTTATCTTCTCTTGAGAAGACGTATTGATTGTTACTTCATTTGTTTGTGAGAGTAACGTCATCAATTATTGAGAAAACGACATAATTTTCTCACACAAACCAATACCAATAATACGCAAAGACGGAATTGGACTACCGACAACTCATGTCAAATATTGAACAGAAAAAGCAATTACACTGTACGGAAGTTTTAAAATGAACATTATCAAGGATCTGGAAATTAAATGTATTATTCTGATTTTAATTAACAGCCCTTACCTTGTGTGTCGTTAGAATAGAGACACCAGCCGACCCCGTAAGGATACTCTGACAGTTCATCCGTGAGGGCAGCTCCTGAGCAGGGTAAATCCAGGCTACAGCATCCGCAGAACCTGATCAGGCTCTGCTGGAAACAAGTTTTCTGGCAGGCCTTCCACACAAAATCATATGTTTAAGAATGCATATTAATAGTATTATTAATGTGATATGTCTACAAATTCGAATCATCAGCCATATAAATGCAAAGACGAAAATAAGCATCCGCAAAAATAATCCGACTCAAATACCTTATTAAATTTTGTTAGGACATATCATTTAAAAATAACACCATACTACATATGAATCAATTTGTTACTCAAGTCCTGGGGTTTATAAAGATTGAAATGGTAAGAGGTGGTTCAAGGAATATATGTACAAGCAAAGGAAGGTCATACAGGTAAGAAAAACTAAAAACGAAATACACTCGGTATATAGTCGTAACTAATCAGGTAGACATGTTTTACAACAATCTAAGTCATTTGTGCGATTGATTCGAAGATGTTTACATGTACTGTTTTTTAAGGCGGGGTGACAACGTCACAATGGCAAATAACAATGACGTCATAACCAAATCATGTGTCGTCTTATAGAGTAGATCATCCTCGATATCCAGGGGTTACGCTCACTTTCGCTCTCTACACCCCTGGAATATGTCATAGCAAAATTGAAGGCTCAGTGTGCGCCTCCTTGTTGATGAGACAAGGAGACTAAATCGATCCTTTGATATACATCAAAAGAATCTCGCGGTCACGTAACGGTAAAAATTGACAGTCTTTGAAGTCGGGCGTCTTTCCTTTGTCATCTTCAAAGGACAGGTATCAGCCTAGCGATTGGTCAGTTTGTTTTACCTGAGACCAATCAAACACCTTCACCTTGGGTGAAGCAGCCTCGATATCCAGGGGTTGTGATCTCTTTCGATCTCTACACCCCTGGAAAATGTCATAGCAAAATTGAAGGCACGAAGAAATTTGTTTGATTGGTCTCAGGTAAAACAAACTGAAGATCAACGTCATATGATGACATGTAAACATGTTACGCATATTCTATGCGTAAAAAGTGGTTAATCGTTGGTAGACCTCAGTTGATACTTTATAATGCATACCCTACGTCAAATATGCAAGTTAACTTTGGTTCAGCAAGAGAAGTTAAATTCAATGATATTTCTCTAGTCAAACATTTGATTAAACTTTGCTACTATTTAAGTATCACAGTTATTAAGATGTTTTCACATTCAATATATACTACTTTTAACAGTTTTTTCATCTACCTCTCAACTGATGTCCATGTGAAATGTCTAGTAAAGGAAAAAGAATTATTTTATCCAGAGTGTTTAATAGTCCTATTCTGACTACGGCAACACTTAACGTAAGGGTATAATGCTACCTCAAAATCATTATACATCAGATCTGTTTAAGAGTATCTCTTAATTATCGCTACATTAATACGTCCGAATGGCCGGGGTCTTTTCAATACATTTAATCTTAAAAACATGTGAAAATCAGTTCAAATTCAAATTCAAATCTGTTTTTAATTTTCCATATTATTTTTTTTAAATGGAACTCTTTTAGAAAGAGTTTTTATGTATTTCCAGTAGATTACTTACCACGTAAGAATAATCTATACTAAGCTGGCCTTCTTCAGCCCAGGCGTTGTATAGGTAGTTTTCTGCCTTGGTATAGTCTTTGCATTCCCCGTGTGGTGCTTTAGCTCGAATAATTTCTGTCTGTAAAGTTTGTACAGTATAATTGCTCATCCTATAGACCATTAACAACGCATTATCCGTCTCATTACATTCCACTGGAATAGCTGCTGTGGTACAATTAAACAATGACTTAGGTTCATTTGCAATTTTAGAATTATGTATGTGATATGTTTACGAATTTTGATCACCAAACATTTAAGTCGTTAAACAATGCAAAGATGAAAATAAACATTCGCAAAAAAATACTAATTCGAATACAGCAGTATCCCTGTCACTCATAGCCCATATTATCAGATCGTACTTACAAGTTTTAGAGAAATTCCTGTCTTGAATCCAGGGGCGAGGTTTATACCGTTTTCCTCCGGGAAAGGCATACTAGTCTGGTTGTGTATCGTCAATTTGATCCCGGCGTCTGGAGAAAGGCTCCCGATATATTCGTCCTGCTCAAGGTAAAGCTCCAGTGCTAGACCTGTCAATGGGATGCACTATGTGACGTCAGTTACTATCTCTATTGTGTTATTTTGGTCGATGCATTCGGCACATCTTATTTTCCAATCAAGAACTATTAAATCATACGTCTCTCGCCTCGACCATCACTGGAGAAACCAACAGATCGGTTATAAGTATATATATAAGGAACCAATTCTAATTCACCTGTAGCCAAATATATTGATTGAATATTTATTTCAAAGTTAAGAACACACTTAATGTCATCACTGTGCGACTCTTACGTTTTATATGCATCAAAACTAGATAATCTGTCATTTATAATCACTTTGAGGAGATATGTCAATGATGATGTTGTCATAGTTATTATATAATATCATGATTTGATTGTGATTGTACTGAGCTGATTGAATAAGATTTCCCAGTCCTATTGTCAGAATAAAATCTGTATATCTGTGCAATAACAACAGCCCAAATTCAGAACATTCTGAACGGACGGAACGTAGCGCTACCATGTCCAGTCACCGACATTCCAGTAAGATAGCCCTTTAAAGTGACCATCGACCAATCATTTGTGGACACCGCCTTAATGTGACATCAGCTATTTGACACAAAACTCTACGATACAAAATAGGACAAAGTGGTAGGCCATTGCCTTAGACACTTAAGTATAAGAGCCGCGGGAAGCGGGCAGATCCAGCAACTATGAAGGTTTCAAGTACTGTAGTAATACCGCAGGAGGATACAGACCATACCGACCATTGGCACGCGGCATGACTCGTCTCCTATCAAAGCTATGAATAACTAAACGTTGAACTATATCTTCAAACTTAAAAAATCGTTAAGATTTAAGCCATCTGTAATTGTAACGTATGGTAATAAACATATGATTGAAACGAATTTCATTCTGTATTTTTAGAAAAAATAACTTCATCTGAAAAAAAAAATCATTTTCACCATTTGTTTAACCATCAAACCAACAGTGCATGTCACATTTTTTAAACAATGGTGATTAACAAGATTTTAAACCTAGATATTCAGGAACCAGAATTAAACAATATAAGCTTCGTCTGCATGAAAATGTTTACACTTCAAAACGTTCTGAGAAGATTTACGTAGACTATCTTTCGAGATAAAAACAAAAAACAAAAACAACAAAAAACAAAAAAAAGATGCACTATGAAGAATGTAATTTACTAATTGTCACATCGAGGTCGAAGGAAATTAAAAATACTAACGTCTGCTGGAGGCTTTGCGAACGTTTAAAATCAAATCATCACTATATCTATTAATATTTACCGTATACGGGTCCTGATTTCTCTGTTTCAGCGATAGTGGAATTGAAACCAGAATTGAACGTATAACAGTTCCCATACTTGTAGTGTATAAAGTGTGAGAAATTCCTAAAACCAACAAATCATCACAAATGTTAACAAAAGTCTTTTATATGTCACTTACGATCTTAAAGTTAATGCGACCAATTACAAACAAGAACGCTTGCCAATTACTATCAGGAATATTGAAATAGCAATTCAATTGTCAATCAAGTCAGGATTGTTTAATAAACAATACAGTTGTCAATTACAATATGGAATATTAAGCAATATATCAAGTTTCCAGTTAATAAAAATCGTTTTTCTCGTAAGGTGGGTGTAGAGAGATGGTCATGAATGTCATTATTTATCAAGAAAAAATCTGATTTTCTGCTAGTTTTCGATAAATAAAGTGATTGGAAAGATATTTAGTATTAAGCGTTATAGCTATTTGTCGGTACAACAAATTCAAATCGTACGTTCCAGAATTATGAAAAGAATCTCAGTTCTAATCTGTATTTCAACTAGACAAAAATAACATATATAGCTCTATTTAATTAATGCTTTCCATGACTTATAATGTATCCCTGTGTGTTTACAACCACATAAGATCGCACGACCCAGGTATGCTTACAACCAATCATAATAACACAAAATAGGATAGGTCTCATGTTCTTTGGTATCTATATACATCAAAAATAAAATATTAATAAAGGTTAGGAAAGCATCAATCTTTCCCAAGAGTTGTCGTTTATTACACTCACGAACACCTCTGTCAATGGCTAAATGCCCAGAATCATGGTAAAGCCTTGCTAAAGCTAATGAGGTTTAATTTGTCGTTCCTAACTGTAAGTGAGTGCAAGGAACGACAACTCTTGGTAAGGATTGTGACATCATGTTTATCATTCTTTAAAATGTTATAACGGGAAGCCACTTTGAATTTATTTTAACAAATATGAAACTAACGAAGGTGAGCAAGATTTTCCTTTGAAGTTACACGACACCAGCATATCCTCAAGTTGATGTCCGGTAGCTGTTATTGTAGCATCATCAAGGGAGGCGAATTCGTATGCGAAATCGAAGCTAACGGAGGCTTCGCTGTCGTAACTATCGTAGAATGAACTGTTGTCATCGAACGTGTCCCATTCCCATACCTGTGGGGCCTCGGTCGTATCTGCGGCCTGCAATAATTATATATATATATACTAGAAATTAATCAAATAGTTAAATGACAGCGTATACACGTGTGCGGTAAGTATTCTTACATAGCTGTGTACCAATTATATATCTTCAACATGTTTTTACCATTCAAATGGAAGCATCTTGAATGTGGTTTCTAGAATAGTGAAATCATGAAACTGTTGTTTGAGAGATACAAACATGTACAATGAAACGTATATAGATACAAGATTATGTATGCTGCTTTGATGAAAACAAGGGGTGCAAATATTCGAAGCGTTTAGGCCCGCACTTCAACATGAACACTAACATAATTAGCGCGCATCTACTTCCAAACTTGTATTGAATAGGAAGTGAATTGTTTTGCAATTGAAAAGGCAGTATTCAGTCTGCACTGTATGAATCACGCGATGAATTCCCAAGATGGTTTCTGTCGATATATCCACTTCACCTGTCACGCAGATTGTTCTTTTCATACCCGCGTTGTACAATGAAACTGAATGTGACCAGAAATGTGAACATCATCCACTGTTAGATGTAATTTTCTTGTTGATTGTGTTTCAATTAAAGACAACTGAACGATTTCTGTTTCAAGTTGTTTGTACTGGATGTCTGCAAACTGCGCATTCGTGTCATACCTATACTTGTATAGACTTGTATTTCTAAATCAAATATCAGTAATTAAGTACAAGAAATGATAAACAGTTCATTATTACACTATTAAATGTTTATCATCTCAAAAAAAGGGTTGCCGTTCGATTTGGTTTGGTTTGGTTTGGTTTAGTATTGTTTAACGTCCTATCAACAGCTATGGTCATTTAAGGACGGCCTCCCGAAGTAAGAAATACTTTAAATATTGGGTGGCTACGGTAATGCTTATTTTTTTATTTATTTTTATTTTTCTTATTTTTGCTTATTACCTTTACGTGGTTTCAAAACTTTAATATATTGTACATCATCAGAATTATGTGACCGGTTAAGAGTCAAACTCCTGACAGTTTAGTTTGGTGACAATATAAATTGTCTGACCCATCATTAGCAGTTGTACAACATGACGAAATATATATAGTAGGTGTTTTTCATGTCGTCTGTTTTACTTGAAAACTAATCCGTTCTTACTAAAATTCGCTAGATGTAAAATTCCATGATATCTTTATGCAACCCAGTGGCCGCAAATGTTCATTCTGAAATAAATTTACGAAAGGACGCAATTGTCTTTGGACTGCCCTCGTATCGTCTGCTTGATGAGAATGAACAATAACGTCAGTTGAACAAGAATTCAATTCCTACCTGTGTTCCCTTTGAAAAATCTGATTGGGCCACGCGGTAACATTGACACGGAGCAGCATGAAACAAAATGTGCCTTGTTAATTTGTTTTGTAATGTTTGAAAACTATTCTGTTTGATTGTCAGTCAGCATGGTGTTCCTAAACTAAAAGGACGTGAAGCATCAGTGTGATATAATACAACATCGTAAAAGGAATATGTCTTATTACTGTCGCCTGTTTTCTGGAAACATCAAAATCTTGAGAGGTTTCTCATCAACTACAAGGAAGACACGAGTACATCAATAGTTTCATGTCCTCCTGTTATCTTAGCCGTTCTTAAAACAGGACAGAAAGAACAACCAAAGAAATCAGAGCCACCTACCGCTATCAGGTTCCTTATGTCCGTGCTAGTACTGGAAAGCAGGCTTTTCCGTATGGGGTTACTGTTACATATTGTTACTGCCGGGAACAGCATACTTCCGTTAGAGTTAAGAACGAGGTTGGTGGAGGTCGGGTAAGTGTAGAACTTCTTGATTAATTCTGTCAACTGCCAAACTGTCATACCTGTAATTTGTAATTTCAAAAAGTGTACATAATGAATATATTATATATTGGCCTTTATGGTCCCTAATTCCATCAAGTTATTTTTAATACTATCCTGAGAAATGTGGTTTCTATAGTTAGCAGTTGAAATTTGTAAAAATTAACTAAACTGGAATATTCAGTCAATTTGTTTTCATGCTTTTTTATTATTGCATCAGAATCGTATCTGCCACTGTTTCCTTTGTAATATTCGTAATTTAAATTGATGACTTTTATAAAGGATCTTATCATTTTAAATTTCAAAGTTTCTTATCATTTTAAATTTCAAAGTTTTACCGTACCATACGTTGATACGGTAAAACCACACATACATACAATATCAAAATGGTCTTAACGTGTTTTAAATCGTTTATTAAGATAAAAGGTACCTCTGCACCAGTTACGTGTATATCTGCGAGGAATAGTTCACTCAGAGTTTCTTAGTGGAGTACTCTCCCCTTTTTAAAGAGGAAGATGAATCAGCCTTAGAGTAACTTCCCCTTTTATTTTCTATGTGACACTCATAATTTGTAAGTTGATGATTCAAACTTCTTGTTAAATTGGTAATGTTAAGATCCAGAGATCGACCTTTTTTTCATTTGCAAAGTATTATTTTGTTAACCATAGCAATGATAAAAATATAGTTTACCTGTAGGTACTCTTTACCTTCATGCTTACTATACGACATATCAGGTAATGCTGTTTTGTGAGGAGTATGTGGCTTTACTACCTTATACAAAATTAGCTAAGGAGACATAATTAGACACATGAAGACCTGTTCACTTCACAGACGTCATGTAATATTAAAAGCGAAAATATAACAGTACATATAAGCGTAAAAAGAAATGTCGGCAGAAACCTAATATTTTAATTACCTGTCATGATAATAACTGTAATTACACAGGTTGTCAGTCACTCTTGTTATACATCAGTTTTCTCCACATGCCGAGTCAGAAAATGACACAAATAAGTGGCAGTGTTCAGGCATTGTCGACAACTTTAGATTGCACTCGTCAAATCTCGGCAGATTTCGTGAGGAAGGGTACCGGAATCAGTCGAGGTTAGCCGAAAACTTTCGATTGATCAATCAATCCTGACTAAACTAGCGGTGTGTCCGAACAACAGGAAAACTACACGAAACCAGCGTGTTTCTTACACTTGCGAGTTGTAGCGCACAATATCGAAATGTTGGGTGTACACGTCTTTTTTCCATAATGTTATCAAGTACACTTTAAATGTTACGTCTTTCGGAAGCAAGCTTTTATCTAATTATCACGATTTCTGCGAAAGATGTCGAATTATAACGATTAATCATTGGTGGGTTGATTTAATTTGGAATTATGCTGTTCCCCAAAGTTTTATCGAATTTAATTTTCAATTGCATTAATGTTGACACATCGGTATCTTTTCCTTTTTGGAAATGGAGACTTTTCCGTGAATTTGCAGATTGGCACGGCCATCTTATCTATCTGTCGGTTGGTGTGATAAACATACAACGTCAAATAGACGTTTGAATCTGTCGATAAAGAGTACATATCACAAATAGCCAATAAACGTTTTTGTGATGAAAAAAGTGATCACTGAGACAAACAGTGCGTGCGTAATTAGGGCGCGTGTACATATAGCGTTTATTTTGACGCATGCGCATATCACATTTATTTTGACGGGTGTACATTTAACACTTTTCGGAAAGATACCCTGTATTGAGTGAGGAGATTGTAATGATTGTTTTACATCTCTCTCAGTGAATAAGGTCAGAAGATTTTAACAAAAGTGCCACAACACGGTATAAAAATTCACGAACAAAAGTCCTTATTTCAGGAAAAACAGATTAAGGGTGATATGCGAGGACTTACGGCCAATGAAAATGTGGAGAGAAATTCATAGCTTGATTTTGTTATTTCGACATATGTTCCATTATAGGGGCTTGGGTCATCAATTCATCTAACGACAAATAAGGGAACGCTGCAGTTATATTATGATTTTTTTTAATCTACATATCTTTTAATCTCGAATCCCCATATCGAGCACTACACAAATAGGTATTTTACCCACCTGAACGCGGATATATCAATGCCTTTGAATTTGTATAATACAGATTATTCGCGAAGTGATCATGTTCGCTATCGCAATGCTGCCGCAGTCAGTTTATATTACACGAAGTGAGAAAAGTGTGCAATGGTTGATAATGGTGAAAAAAATAGGAAATACCACAGTTTGAACAAAACCGCAAATATTACTCAAATCGATTTTACTAGAGCAAAACCTGAACAAAGAAAACAATGAAATGGACACCCTTGAAAAGAGAATAAGATAGTGAAGTCCGGAAAGGAAAACGTCTTCCTGCTTCATCGTAATGTATTAAAATCGTCCAAGAATGTAACGTCCTCCAAGTAATAATTGAGGTATATTTCTGAAGACGAATTTAGTCGATAAGACATTTGAATTATATGATAAATTATTTGACAAGATGATAAAGTAACGTGTCATGTATGCAAAGTAAGTTGTGTTTTCGCATTGTACATCAAAATGCTGGTGCAGTCGTAAAATGCCATTGACCTCACAGGGATTCGGATTTCAGATATTACTTACTCTAACCCGGTGCTCAGTCATCTGATATATCTAGTAACGGTGCTTGACACCGTCCGTCTATACCAGTACTACCCCATTCTTGTATACGGTCGTTGTTTTTTAAGAAAATCTGTCATTTTCTGTACTATTCAGTTCTATTACAAAGTTGCTATCTGGAAAAATAATAAGGTGGATCTTCGTGAGAGTCTCATAACGAATTATTTGAGCTAGGGTTACGGTAATCCGTTCGGCATTAGAAACACAAACAGCCGAAACCTCTGGCGGGTCATTGATTCGGTAAACCAACGTATAAATACTAATGAAATCAAATATAAACTAGCCCTAGGGAATGGTATGATGAGAGACTTAAAGTACTAGAAGCAGACAAAGCTAAATCTGAGATAATACGGTCCCTATGTTAACATCTATGGTATCTGTGAAGTGACCTGGGACCACAAAACCAATACTGATACAACAAATAACTATTTACATTTCTATCCGATACCCATGCCGTCGATTTGTTTGAGAAAATGATTTACTAAAATCACAAAAATCAATAATTGCCCCTTAGCGCGGTTTGATTTTCTTTGTAGCTGAGCGTTTATCGGTGATATGTATTCCTATAGCAGTAATACTAGTGTGACCTAGCCTTATAGCTAGTACGTGTCTTATCAGGGAGGGAGATGAAAGAGAACACCATATTGTACAGTGACGTCAACAATAAAACAACAAGAGAAACCCGGAGTGTTAACAAAACCATAAGTTTAACTGAAAATCGACAAAACTAGAGCAACAAATGAACAGAGGAAAGATTTGCGTGGAGACCCTTGGAATCTTCAAATTGTCGAAGTTGGTCAGTACCATTTAGAAACCAACAAGCCGAATTAGACCAACACCATGACGAACTCAGAATCAAAAGTCGACACATGTATAAAGATAACAAAATGAACACAAGGGATTTCACCTATAACATTTGGTAATAGATACAGTATTCTAAGATTAAATTTTAATGCAACTTACATATGTTTCGCCCTTTCTAGAACTCAATGCTAAGGACTGAAAGTGGAAGTCCGAATTGGTCAAAAATACTGGTATAACTGAAGGGTAGGTGCGTAAAATCCCTCAGATATATTTATTTAAGACCTTTGAAGAGAACTGGCTAACTTGAAATTATCCCACAAACCAGAAAGAAGAAAGACAAACATTTCCTCAACAACATGTGACGAAAAATGCAGAAAGGCAAGGTATTTCCTCAATCACATGTGGCTGAACTTTATCCTACTACATGTGTCTGAACTCAGCAAAGAGCAGAAACCAGTAGGCAAGTATTTCTTTATCATATATTGCTGAACCTCACACAAAGTAGAAGCCAGAAAGGCAAGCATTTCTTATCACATGTGGCGGAACCTCCAAAAAACCAGAAACCAGAAACGCAAGCATTTCTTATCGCGTATGGCGGACCCCAAAAAAACAGAAACCAGAAAGGAAAGCATTTCTTATCGCGAGTGGCGGAACCCCAAAAAAACAGAAACCAGAAAGGCAAGCATTTCTTATCGCGTGTGGCGTAACCCCAAAAAAACAGAAACCAGAAACGTAAGCATTTCTTATCACATGTGGCGGAACCCCCAAAAAACAGAAACCAGAAAGGCAAGCATTTCTTATCGCGTGTGGCGGAACCCCCCAAAAAAAAACAGAAACCAAAATGACAAGCATTTCTTATCGCGTGTGGCGGAACCTCCAAAAAAACGAAACCAGAAAGGCAAGCATTTTTTATCGCGAGTAGCGGAATCACAAAAATACAGAAACCAGAAAGGCAAGCATTTCTTATCGCGTGTGGCGGAACCCCCAAATAAACAGAAACCAGAAAGGCAAGCATTTCTTATCGCGTGTGACGGAACCCCCAGAAAAACAAAAACCAGAAACGCAAGCATTTCTTATCACATGTGGCGGAACCCCTAAAAAAAAGAAACCAGAAAGGCAAGCATTTCTTATCGCGTGTGGCGGACCCCAAAAAAAACGAAACCAGAAAGGCAAGCATTTCTTATCGCGTGTGACGGAACCCCCAGGAAAACAAAAATCAGAAAGGCAAGCATTTCTTATCGCGTGTGGCGGAACCCCCAAGAAAACAGAAACCAAAAAGACAAGCATTTCTTATCGCGTGTGGCGGAACCCCCAAATTTCTTATCGTGGTGACGGAACCCTCAAAAAAACAGAAACCAAAAAGACAAGCATTTCTTATCGCGTGTGACGGAACCCCCAAAAAAACAGAAACCAGAAAGACAAGCATTTCCTGCACCACACGTGGCCGCTGTTATCATGCCACAACCCAAATTTAGGAGGTGGGTCACAAAATACCACAATTTAAAGTAAAATCATAATGGCGACCATGAAATGTCTTTGGAAAGAACACCCTCCAGTAGAAAGCCCTAGCCAGGTACAGTTTACTGTAAGTCGCCTTATAATGGTTATCTACTCATAAGTGGCACGACTACCCAACCATAGAATCCATATAAGTAAAACAAAGCAAGCTTATAACCTTTCTCCTAACACAAAATCTCAAACTAAACAATAGACGTATTGAATTCATATAGTCTTTGTATTGTGTGTGTTAGTCAGGTGTCTCTGTACAGAATAAGGTATCGTAAACTCATCAAAGACTGGTTTCAGAATTCCCTAACATCACGAGATCGTGACACTGTCGATAGCTGTACAGTAACTAATATCCGGCCTACGTCATTGGTGTGTAACTGTGTAACGATCACCGTTGTGTAATATGTTACAGAGAATGTGACTTTCAATGTTATTTTGAAATGAGGGACAAACCCTTAAACCAGCTAAAAAAATAAACATGATTTTGCGTGGTTACTGCAGCCTTTTACTGCGGCAATGCTTCTAAATAGCAGTAACGTGTACTTTTTGACAATAACTTAATCCTTTTAAACCTATTATCCTATCATTAGATATATAAGAATGATATCAAAAGTTCAACACAAACAGATAATTTTAATCTATTTATAAGAAGTTTATTTAGGAAGTCTTACATGAAAGCATGTTATTAGATATAAAAGTGTATCGATCTCTTTCAACCGTGTATAGTAGTAAAGTACAAGAAAAATCCTCCACTATGTCAAACACCAACCCTGTACAAGTCAATAATCAAAATAAAAAACCTTCACTGTATATCAGAATAAGGATAAAAATATATATCTATCAAAACGGTGGATTTTTTCCCGATGAATACCAGATATATTTCACAACTATGGCAGAATATAGGTATTTTTAACCAGTGTGAAGTACAAGGATATGAGTATAATCTATCACACGAGTGAAATATAAGTGGTATCCAGTTTGGTAAACCAGAATCAGCAAAGTGCGGGATTAAACAGCATAATATTTTAACGGTATTCTAAGAACATCACGTTTGACAACAAGGCTGCGTGCTATTTTGAATGAGCTACTCATCTTAATTCTATCATTTTTTGGTATTATCTGGTACGATTTGCTAACAAAAAAATGTTAATACCAATTATGTTGTATGTGTATACCTAAGTGTATGTACAAAAAATGTACAAAATCAACTGCTTATCATACCGTCGCTTGATATGCTCCTGGAACAGAAAATCTGCTACTACCAATGCAGTGACTAAAAACATCGGTACACGGCCTTATATCATAACAAGTGAATATACATATACACATTTTTATTAAATTGAAAATTTCTGGTGTTTCGATGGTAAAACTTAATTTTAATGTACTAACTTACCAGTTTTTACAAAACGTGGTGGAGTATCAGAAGCGGTTTTGATGTCTTTCTTTCGCTACTTATTGAAGACAAGGATAAATTCCTTGGAAGACAGAAGATGTGAATTGTTTGACAAGGCTAAGATGGGAATGATTCCGGGACACCCGGAACAACAGATAGTCTGTCTGGACACAATTTAAGTTTTGTGTATACAGATATTTTCACCGCTTTTGGTTCTGACATTGCTACGATAGCATATATTGCTCCCTTGTGAAATCTAACAGACAGCAAAACTAAACAAAGCACAGCACCAGGATCCGTATACACACAGCGACTAAAGGAAAGCAATACTAAGATCCTAACAGACACCAAACCTAAAGGAAACACAACACCCAATCTGAACAGACACCGAAACTAAAGGAAACACAACATCAGGATCTGAACAGACATCGAAACTAAAGGAAACACAACATCAGGATCTGGACAGACATCGAAACTAAAGGAAACACAACATCAGGATCTGAACAGACATCGAAACTAAAGGAAACACAACACCACGATCTGAACAGACACCGAAACTAAAGGAAACACAACATCAGGATCTGAACAGACATCGAAACTAAAGGAAACACAGCATCGGGATCTGAACAGACATCGAAATTAAAGGAAACACAACACCAGGATCTGAACAGACACCGAAACTAAAGGAAACACAACACCAACATCTGAACAGACACCGAAACTAAAGGAAACACAACATCAGGATCTGAACAGACACCGAAACTAAAGGAAACACAACACCAGGATCTGAACAGACACCGAAACTAAAGGAAACACAACACCAGGATCTGAACAGACACCGAAACTGAAGGAAGCACAACACCAGGAACTGAACAGACACCGAAACTAAAGGAAACACAACATCAGGATCTGAACAAACATCGAAACTAAAGGAAACACACCATCAGGATCTGAACAGACACCAAACCTGAAGGAAACACAACACCAGGATCTGAACGGACACCGAAACTAAAGGAAACACAACACCAGGATCCGTATACACAAAGAGATTAAAAGAAAGCAACACCAATATCCGAACAGACACTGGGAGAAAAAGAAAACACAATACCAGGATTCGGACAGACAGCAAAACTAAAAGATCCCTTATAAAAGTTAGGAAGTTCGTAAGCACACCACATCCCTTATAAAAGTTAGGAGGTTCGTAAGCACACCACATCCCTTATAAAAGTTAGGAGGTTCGTAAGCACACCACATCCCTTATAAAAGTTAGGAGATTCGTAAGCATACCATATCCCTTATATCAGTTAGGAGATTCGTAAGCACACCACATCCCTTATAAAAGTTAGGAGATTCGCAAGCACACCACATCCCTTAAAACAGTTAGGAGATTCGTAAGCACACCACATCCCTTATAAAAGTTAAAAGGTTCGTAAGCACACCACATCACTTATAACAGTTAGGAGGTTCGTAAGCACACCACATCTCTTATAAAAGTTAGGAGGTTCGTAAGCGAACCACAACCCTCATAATAGTTAGGAGATTTGTAAGCACACCACATCCCTTATAAAAGTTAGGAGGTTCGTAAGCACACCACATCCCTTATAAAAGTTAGGAGGTTCGTAAGCACACCACATGTGAACATCATGGTCACATCTATGGAGGTCTGTACGTCCCCAACCGAAACACAGAAACATCCTGATAGGAATTTGGTCACCAGAACTTAAAGAGGACCGTAACATTCTCTTCGTGTACAACATTGTTTAAAAAAAAATAGCATGAAAACAAATGGAAAATACCATATTTGAGGGAAAAACCAACTTTTTTGTAAAATTACTGATTTATGTATGAAATATTGATCATAAAGCAGGAAAATAATAAGTCCTTAACGTTGAGTGACTTCTTTATCAGGAAATCGTGAAACGATAGTTTCTGAAATATAAAGATTTTTAGTGTGCATTTAATACTGTATACTAAAAACCATGTACAACGTGATACCTACCCCATCCAGCTAGAAATACTAATATCCAAAGTGACATTCGTACTATGTTAATTGAACGCGCAATGGCCGACGGGCCATGCATGTAACACGCATCCGCATATTGTTTAAATTTCTGTTTCGGAGAGTCCTTTGACGATAGATCCAAGGAAAATCGATTAGAACAACGTTCACATAGCTTTTTTGTCATTGTAGGAATTCCTTAAGTCTCTACACCGATAAAATATACAAAGAATACATTTCGATTTTACTAAAAAGGTCAATGGGAGCTGCACAGGTGCCCGATGGTCCGGTTTTTGTCTCTGTAGTTATATCTGTGTGGCGAACTCAAGCGTGTATGCATACAACTGTACGGCAATTGTCACTTGTGTATTCTTATAATGGGTCGTCGGTACCTGAAGCGCCGTCACACATCAATGCTTTTTAATCATTAAGACAGTCTTCGAAAATATAACTGTACACAATATCGAAATACTATGTATTTACTTTCGCACAGTATTTGTTTTTGCTGTCGTTAGGGTGTTATTATTGATCAATTGGACTTGTCATAATTACTAAACCATTTCAGTAATGAAGAATATGGAAATCAAATATACGGGAGCGTGAACAATCAAATACATAATTAACAGAAACCAGGATCATACCAAAACGATCGGGAAAACAACATAAACCCCCAATTGAACCAAAGCCTAACCAATATGTACTTCATATTGATTATTCATTTTTTATTTTCTTAATTCTTTATTACAGCATATGAATGGTTTGTCTACTGGTCATGATTTTAAATTTGTACAGTAATTTCGTTTAACCCGAACACCGCGGGCATCATCTAGTTCAGCTCGGGAAATTATAGAGTGATATGTAGGTGAACGTTTGAATGCAAACTATGGAATCCAAATCAATGTTGGAATTTAAAGGGTTTTCTGTGTCTTCTATTAAGGGAGATTGATGAACTTCAATTGAACTGCTGCTCTCGACACGTTAAATAACTGTCTACCCCCACCCCCTTCATTTTTATTCCTACTGGTTAGATGAAACGTTTGAAATCTAAGACGAAAAAAAATCGAAAAACGAAAGAGAGCTTGGTTTTAAGAACCAATTAGGTATCCCTCAGACTAAATAGACACAACAATTGATGTTAACTCTCCACTGATCTATGTACACAATAGTGTCAATGCTTGGGTTTATAACCTCTCTGTGGTAACATGATATCCTCTATGTCAGTTAAAGGTAAGACGGTACACGTCAACAATAGAACTATTATATACTTATTTCTCTAAGTGTGGGTGTGTTGGTTCTCTATATAGAATATGGTGGAATACATTCTATAAAGTGTCATGAGCTTTATTTCAAATAAACTACTACAAAAAGTGCGTTATAATGCATAATGTATACTGGAAAAATATATTGAACAATGTATTTCAAATAAATCACAGTTTTATTAACTATTGGCAATAAGCCAACATATCTACAAAAACCTACACAATCATATCTACAGTAGAAACAATCATATCTACAGCATAAACAATCATATCTACGGCATATACAATCATATCTACGGCATACACAATCATACAATGTATCTCCGGCATAAACAATCATATCTACGGCATAAACAATCATATCAACGACATAAACAATCATACAATGTATCTCTGGCATATAATTAATATCTACGGCATAATTAAGCATTGAACTGCTTTTGTATGGTAAAATACCATACAAAAACAGTTCAATACTTATATTTACGTTTTCTCTGCCTCTTATGTTCTTTTTTAACTTATAATTTATATTTAAAATTAAAAATGCCCGCCTTATCGACAGTCCACAGAATTTCGTTCAATAGTTTGAACAGCGTATTGTCGCGTGCTGATTGGCGAACAAAGTCGTACTTTGAAATTTTAACAAACACTTCAATTTTATTCCACAATATCGGCCTCAGGAAATACGAAACCCTTTAGGGTCATACCATCCCGTTTACCCTGCCAAAAACCGTGTAACTAATAATATCTACGACATAAACAATCATATATACGACATAAATATATCTACGACATAATCAGTCTCTGTTTAATTTGTTTATTTATTATGGCACGTCGGGACAGTTTATTTAATAACATCATATGCATAAATTAAAACAAAGTTAATTAGATGCTGAAGGTACAATTTAAACGATCTACAGGTTAGCTTTGAACAGTTGAATATTAACGTATTGTATGTACACGTGTCTCTTATCTAGTCTGCGAGCTTTGAACACGATGAATCTATGCTGTGTCGCTGTGTCAACTCACGCTAACACAAAAGTAGACGGTATTTTAAATAAGTTCAATTCAAATGACACGGTTTTCATTTAACAAAACCTTGTCCCATGAATCATTTAAACATATTTTATCAGAAACCCACGAAACATTTCCAAACAGTATAATATGACCATTGTTATGACATACGTTCTTTAAAAACCACTGTTGTTGCATTTGTAAAAGAAATTTTGACACTAGATAGTAATAGACCCTCAAAATGAACTACCTACATTATATACCGCGCTGTACGATCGTATGTATGTAATATTTCGTTGAGATTCGACAATAGATATCGCGTCGTGTTACAAGAAATGTTTCAAAGGATACCGACAAATATGTTGGCAGATTAGCATAGCTAGCACGTGTAATTATATCAACTGTTCTAAGCCAAACAACCCGGATTTGCATTACAATCCAGGTCTATGCATACAAAAAAAAAAAAAAAAAAAAAACGTCAGCTCGTCCGGCAGATAACATTGGCTCTTTATGAGTACATGAAAGACAGAAAGATAACGCAGAGTTTGTGGATAAGGAAAACGAGAGACAATGTCCATCCTTGAAATAACAGATTTAATGGGTCTTTGCTCCTCAGATCTCCCAACCCAATACATAAATTTCAAATTGCTGCGTTCATAAGTGCCCGGAAACTTACAGTAGCAAGATAACAAACGTCCAAAATGGAAACCGATTGTCTATTTTATTATTGAATGTAATCAGTTTTCTGAGGTAAGGACACAGTTCATTCCAAGAAGATACTATACTAGGAAAAGATTTGTGGATTTAATTACATCATCTAATGTTGCAATTGTAAGAAATCTAGCAATTTATGTTTTCAAATTAAGGCAAACGAGATCAGAAATAATATTCTTTTTAATAATTAACTCTGGGCGACTGGGTATTTATTCTGTACGTTTTTCTGGCAACTTATCCTAAATTCTGTATTTTTGTCACGCACATACTCAATTCGTTAAATATTTATACATTTAACCACTGTGTAGCATTGGTTAATGGCATCGAGAGTTATCTCCCATTGATCACATATGTAACAAAACGGTTTTTAGGTACAAACTTTTAACATTATACAAACAATATGTACTTTCTCGATTGCTATGAAACACGTGGTAATGGACATCTGGTTGCCTAAATATGGGAAGTTTGAAAACAAGTCCTCGTACCTGTCGCTGCATGTATGTGTATTATACCAATTAAAAATATATTTCTTTGTCCATGTTCATGTTCCACTCCACCTGTACCACCTATGTGGATTGTTATTATGTAATGCACAAAGGAATTTTTGCCTATTGCTTAATAAAATAATATTATTTATAAAATGACGAGATAGCTGCTGGGTGTAACACAACAACTTGATTAAATAGCAATAAATACGGCTACATCATAATACGAAAATCATTTCAATCATCGAATGAGTGTATTGATAAACGAAAATAGGAAGTACATCCCTAGTTGAAAATCCAATGTAGGGAGACAGTATCACAATTTCTGCATATTCTAATGAGTCTAGAGTTGTGATGAATATTGTATGTTTATTATTGACAGAACAGTGTGTTCTCTCAATATTAAAGTATTTCAAAGCAATCCAGGCATTAATTCAGGTTGTTTTTTATCAATGAGTCACACATGTGTCCATTTTTCTGTACTCCAGGAAACCGGCTACCTAGCTATTTCACTACTGTGAAGTTTTTCAAGAATGATAATTCTTACATGCAATTACTATGTGTATATGGTTTTATTATAAAATGTCAATTTTTTATCGATTATAGATAATTTATTTTATACAATTTCAGCATTTATTAAATTGATATAATACAAAACTAATTTACGGCATAATCTTTTTTATTGACATTATTTTGCAAAAGATTGTGTCTTTTAATATTTTTTTCAAAGTTAACTCCTTTTTACATAAATTTCCATTTAAAATCCTTTAAGCTCTGACAACCTATATTGTTTTGTGGCAGAACAATTTCTGTACTTCAAAGGATATAACTACAAAATTTGAAGAAATTCTATTGAGAAATGGTGACACAATCCTATTACCTTAATAGCAAACAAGAAAGAGAGAAATCTTTGTTTCGTAATTCTCCTCTTGAAAGATGTTGTTTGTAGCAGACGTTTTGAAGAATATAAAAAATAGACCCCACTAAGAACTTTGCAAAGTGACGTGCACAAAACGAGAAAATATTTAAGGAATGACCAAGATTTTGTTTCGGTATATACCGTATATACCAAAACAAAATATTGGGCATTCTTTATAATTTAATTTTTAAAAAGTCGACAAACACAAATGCACAGTTAAAGATTTATTTAATTTTTACGTAAACTAAACAACTGCGCTAAAAAAAACTGCGTTGTAATTTTGCATTCTGAAGTGTAAAAAGTAGTTCCGTCATCAGTTGTTTTCCTTTTTAGGTATATACGATATATACCAAAAACATATTATGGGGGAGATAGGCAAAATTAAATTATATAGTTTTCTTGGAAATTTCTCGTAATTTTCTTATTTCTGATGATATTGAATAGAAAATAATTATGATGAAATAGCATCATATTTGGTATCAAAATCACAGTAGAAATGTACTTCACACAATGACAGTAGGATTTTGAAATATTATTTTATCATTAACTATGGAACAAATGTATAAGTGCACCTTAAACACAAACAAAGGTGTTCGTCAATGCGATCCCGCTTGCCATTACTTTATATAGTAAATGAATGTTCAAGCTAAATATTGGTTTTTTAAGCTTCCTTACTAATACATTCTTGTATTGATATTTTGAAAATCCAATGAAAAGTTAATTCTCCCTGAAGGTTGAACGTACCAATATGGTAAAATGTCCCCCTTTATTTAGTTTCCAAATCGTTCAGATAAAACGTATTACTATTTTTTACGCTCAAAATAAAAATGAAATAAAATAAGGGGAAATTTTATCCCCAATTATGTTTTCAATGTATGTAAATGACTTTGAAAATGACTTTATTGCTAACGGTGTTAAACCGTATGATTTTGGAGAA